GCGATTATTTTCGAGTACATAAATGCGACCAATTGCAAAGTATGCGCCCAAACGGCTCTCTAGCAAATATTGCAGACGTTGCTCAAATATGCTGTGATGTCCAGTTGCTTAAACGCATTAAACGCTAGCAAGTGCAGGTCAAGTCAAGGAAGTACCAGCAGTATAGTGCTGTTTTACACTTGGGGTTTCATGACCTTCTTATCGTCACGAGTGAGCGTGCGCCGGAAGTTATACTAATACTAGGTGAGGCTGTAGCCTACACGGCATACAGTACATTATGGTGCGTGTTTTATAGTGTACTGTGTCAGAGGCTCGCTCGCTTGCAACTAAGCAAGTCAGCAACAACGGGGAACACGCAGTAGAAAAGAAAATGGCGAAAAAAAGTTGCAGCAGTTTGATGATTTGCTTTCATGCAGTAAACGTAAACTGAAACATGCGCTTGCTACAGTATTGTCCTTTTGTTTTTTACTAACGACGAATAGCCCATATTGGGGAATTTCCTAGTTAGGTCAAATTTAGCGGTGCAGGGCAGTCGTAATAAAGCCATGCTGCTTCGAACATCTCACTAAACGTGTTCTTATTGATTTATGCAGCTTGTATTTGGCTTTTTTGTTAACTGTACATAAGGGTTACAGAGACTAAATGACAGTCTCGTGCTCTACTAAGGTCCCCTTTCAAAGCTCACGAATAAGCCTCCGTTGTTCAGTTTATGGATTTACTATCGTTGCACGTACAGGACTTGTGACATGAAAGACGCTGCGCTTCTAATTTTTTTCGTCAGGCGCGCGCGATGAAGGACGAGATAAAAATGCGCTACAACTCATCTGGTACTTTGATTATAAAAAAGATTTCAACTTGAGAACGAGTCTGTTCCTATTGTCACTTTCCGTAAAAGTATATTCAGCTGCAAGCGTATAATTTTGAAAATATATGGTATTTTTGAGAAGGAGGATGCTTTCTCGTCAGTGGCGATTTTCGAGTTAGAGTTTTTTCTCGTCGGGTCAAAACCAATGTTCATTTTTCGCGTCGTCATCGAATTCGCAGGATCCAGCGGAGCAAAGAAAATGCAAAATGCACGCAGAGTGCTTGATCAACACTGATCCCACAGTGACAATAGTTGGCAAACTAGTTTTACTCCACTTTGCGGCCTGCTTCTTGGATAAAATATTCAAGTTTCCACCTTATTCAGGCAAGCGGTCGGCAGAAAAAAAAGATGGAATGAAAAAAAATTATACGGACCACGCATCGCAGTTACAGTGGCGAGCAGATCTTGGAAAACTGGCTCCGTGGCCCGTATTTGCCTCCGGCTGTCTAGCCAACTGCTGCACCGCTGTATACTGATGTATAAGATTGAGCACACGTTTCATCGCGTCTCGTACTGCCTAGCCATCGAGTAGTTGGTCCAAATCTGCCTTGGCATGAATAGAGTGCCGAGTTATCGTAGCCATTAAAGAGGGAGACCTGTGTGCTCGTGTTCAATCGGACTTGCTTCGCGCTTTTCCTTGATTATGATATATTAAAGACCACAGCACGAAACGGCTACGACTACTTTGTGCATAATTATTTCGACATAAAAACATTTCGAGGGAAGAACAGTGAATGAGCCTTAGCGTTACACTAAAAAGATTGAGCGATATAAAAGTGTAGCTCTAGATAATTCGGCTGAAATCATCGAGTCTCGTCGATGAAATTTTTAAAGCTGCAAAAAAAAAATTTGGCAAAAATCAAGAGAGTTTTCTTCAGTTCCTCATCGATATTTATGTAAGTTACGAGGCGAAAGCATATGATTTGTTCGTGCATAAATAAAAAAGCGCAAGTCCGGAGATGCCGAAGATATTCGGTACATAGTATTGTGCTCGAGCAATATGACTTGTTGCTTGCTGATCTTACAATATATAGTACGAGGCAGCTCAGTTATCGAATTTTGAGCAACATTAACTCTGACAGTAAATATTATACTCGAGGATTTCTCACAGACCCATGCTTGATACACTACTTTTTGTACAAACCCTAAAGCTAGTTCGAGAAGTGTGCTAAAGATCTTGATATATTCTTGATATATATATAAATGTACATAAAAAAAGCTGTGTAGCGACTAAATTTTTTTTCTCTGAGCATAATCTCTTCTTTAGATTTATACTCTGGCTTGAAAGTGCTTGCATTGCGCGAGAACATGTCTCGAACACCTCGATGAAGCTCTTATTAAATTCGCTTTGAGCGATCGGTTCGATCGTCTACGTACAACCGCTCTAGATCTTCTTCTTTAGTTTTGTAAACACAGTCGAAGATTAGCCACTGGCAGTTCTTATAAACGGTAAGCGCATCGAGAAATCAGCAGAACTCGGCGTTAATTGACACATTGACATTGCTCGCTCTATTCAGTATATCACGAAGCATTTAGTTGGCAGAAAGTCGAAGCGAAAGAGCTAAGCACGCGCAAAAGAGAGAAAGAGAGAGAGAAAGTATACCAGAAAAGCAAAGGTAAACACGACGACTAGATTAAACGCGTATTAGTCGTCTCAAAAGATTCTGAACACTATTTTCCATGTGACGGCCAAAGTAAGCAAGCAACATCGTTTGGTAACGTGCACGACTCATTGACATCACAATGGCTTTCTTAGCTCGGCGCACTGAGTGCTAATATACCCATTCCACGCGCATGTAGCATATATAAAGTGCCCGCAATATAGACTATCGATAACAGTAGCCCGAGTTAAAGAGTATAGCCGGATACCTACTAAAGAGAATATAAGGAATGTACAGCGAGCATTGACCCAGTATTTATTTTGCAGCTTACCTGTCTTGGAATGCCGTCCGTCATGACTAGTTGTGCGACTTTTTGTGAAACGCCTCATCGGCACGCGTCGACACCGTACTACTTTTCGACTTACCTTATTATTCATTTTTCGTGAATTATAGTCGTAGAAAAAACAATATTTTATCAGCAACTTTATTGCGATAAATCGATTGCTCTACATTTATCTGAGTGTCAACGCATGATGGACTGCATAGTTTGACGATAAAAAAAGAACACGTTGTTTCAGAAGTCAAGCGCAGCTGAATAAAGAAGAATTTTTCTAAATTCCCGACAACGATCGTCTACACTCTGATTTACTACCCTTCATAAAGCTTCAATAGCAATCAAAATTGCGAACGCGTTAGAAAACTCCTCTCAGAGCAAAGGTTGGTTTAGCGATACATGCTGTACACTTGATTAGTTGTTCAATGACACTGAATCACGATTGTCGATGGTTTGGAATTAAACGTCAAGATGCGACTACGCCGACTTTCACTTCTTTTCTGACTTTTCTCTTCACCGTTGATTTCGTATACTGTTTTTAGACTAGTATGCGCGTTTTACACCGATAGTGAGCTATGCGCGAGCGATTCGATTATAATGCCCGCTAAGGTTTGAGAGTCATTGCAATTACGGTTCAACGACCGAGTCTGTGCATACGTTCGTGGTAAATTCAAGATTTACACGGTGCTCACGGATTAAATTTCAGCATATGAATTTATTATATCTGCAATCGTCGATCTCACTAAAAGCGTTGTTTTTTACATATACTGCTCGCTCTCAATTGCGATCGCCCTTTACACCGGACGAAGAATTAAATTTTTGCTTTTTCGCTTGAGCAAAAATTCCAGTTTTGAATATTTAGAATTAGCCTCTATTTCAGAGAGATATATAGCACAGAAGCAAGCTTGAACTCATTTTTTGTAGCTGCAGTTAAAGCGCACGTAACAAACGTGGGTTCCTTTATACTTTTCACATTGATCGTTATAAACTAAGACGGCTCGGCTGCTTATTGGAATCAAGAGCCCGCATTATTGTCGTCGTTAATCGGAAACGGGGGTAGTTCGTCTAAAGTTCGACCTACATATACCCCAGCGCATACCCCAAAGCGGCTGTTTCCTACTCTTGAGGGCGTTGACTTGAGAGCGAGCTCTACTACTGAATGTACAGATTTTTTCTCTGCACGATGAAGAAGAAAAAAGAGTGGAAATCGAAAAAACCTTCAGAGTCGGAGCATACGGAACTATGGACGTTTTTCTTGGCGGAGGCGCTTACGTACAGCAAAGAACAGCAAGAACGATTAATTTATCGGCTACTGCATGAGTGGCAAACAAGCGAGGGCTCGATACTTTGTTCATTGCGTGCATGAACTTATCGTTTTTTTCCCTCTAAACATTTTCTACTTTGATTTGAAAAATCGAACCTTGAAAGCCGAGTAAGAATTAGCGAAAATTGGTACAGTTACAAAAGTACTTTGGCTTAAATTTCTGTTACATTGTTAGCATTTTGTGCAAAATTCTATCGGTGCTCTAAGATCCTTCTCTGAGTAATCAAATAACAATAAAACTATGATATTGATACTAAAATGATTCGCTTTCATAATACTACGTAATACATATATAATATGTTAACTAAAAAGATATATCATCACCGTCCATAGGTCCTTCTCTCACTGTTTGAAAAAGATCGGAGACTGGCAAGAAGAGCTGTAATTTATACTTCAGTCCGTCATTGTTTTTTCGAGTAATGAGAAGGACCACGTATAATTGCAATATTAAATCCTGATATGAGTCGTGTGAGGATTGTATGTTTTCTATCTGCTTTTTTTGTGAGTTTTTTCCTCCTCTGCGTAACCTGCTTGTCCCTTATTTGTTCGCTTATATTCCAGCAGATTATAGTAAAAAAATTGTTCATAAATTCTTTCCCCATAAAATTCAAAAAATCCTTTTACACATCCCACGTATACTTTTTCGTTTGAACGTTAATGGGTAAAAAAGAATGCGTTTTTTTAATTTTTACGAAATTGTCATCCGCGTTTTCCTTTTCTATAAGGCAAGTTCCGATAAAGGATAGCAGTAGAGAAGACCAATATTAGATATATCAAAGAAAACAAAAGTTAATAATTTACTTTTTCGAAATTATTGGAGATCGTAGTCGCACTATAAATTAATGTTTGATGATTTTTTTTTTATTTCTGTTGCAGATAAGAAAGTTACATTAGTGAAAAACTTGAGCGTCTTAAAGGCCACAGAGATAACACAGAACTTGAACTACGATTCTTGAATCATAGTAAAACTAAGCTAAAATGGGTGCCCGACAAAGCAAAAGATCCGTTGACATAACTACAACGCCGAAAAAAGAAGGTCTGCCAGCTGAAGCCGGTGCTGCCGGCGAGGCCGTGGAAAAGATCGAAAAATTGGGAGTCATCGAAGAGGTAGCCGCTGCTGACGCTAACGCCAAGCCCACCTCGAATGGAGTAGCGCCTCACGCCGAAAAAACCGACGACAAGGAGAAAGATAAGGATGAAGCTACCGAGAAAGACAAGGACAACGAGGTCAGTATTGAATTTATGCTTCATATTAATAAAATGCAACTCAAGCTATGCAAACGAGCATTTCATTTTGTGCTGCTTTTGTCAGCGTTACAGTTTCTGAGTATCTTTATCGCTCTAAATGTATACACTTGATAAAAATGAGATATTTCGCTTAATTGTCCTACTTGAAATGCATTGCTCTCGCGCATTGCTGTTATTATTATTGTTGCGCGTCTGATAAGGCCAGTCGAGACCAAGTTTGCGGGCGTTTTTTTCTCTTCGGCAGTCCAATACTTTTCTATTACAATAAGTTTCTTGTATTTCTGATGTTAACAAACACTAGACGACGATCGAAAGTGGAAGGAAGTTGAAATAGGCGCTCTTGGCACTGCTGCATGAGCACAGACCAAGTCGACGATTGTGGCTGGCGCCGGTTTTGTCTATACTTATAAGCGGTCTGCATATATATATGCTCGCCTGTTACATCAGTGCTGCTTCTGTTGTGGTTGCGGCATAGATAGTTATTCTGTGCGTGTGTGACTTACGACGTTGGCGTAATAGATCATTGGCCTCTCCGACTCGCCAAAATTGTAAACTTGACGCCGTGATCTGTTTATTTATCAACTTAGCGTGCTTATATGCGATAAATGCCAATGGAACTATAACTACAGATGTTATTTTACAGTCTACCATCATCCTCGCTCCGATGATCGACAGCGTCGACTGAATATCATACATTTTTATTTTTCTTATTTTAGATTATGGTTTCATTGGCATAAGTTTAACTTGTCGCGCGCGGCAATTCCGCAATTTTTTTGCTTTACCTGTAACAATTTTAAATTAAGTGAAAGATGAAAAAATAAGGGAAGAACTTTTCTACAATCATCATAGAAAATGCTTTTCCTGTGTTTCATTTTAGAGCATCGCGTGGTTCTGCGTGGTCGCAGAAACGGGCGTTGGACTTTTATCTCGCGTCGCGTATACGATTTTTCTTTATCCCCATCTTGAAAGAACGTTTGATTAAAATAGTTGTAAAATATTTTATTTAAACAATTTTTTTTCATCAATAGCGATAATTTATTTAATGTTTTATAATCTTTTTCTTTTTTTTTCATGTTAATGATGTTTATACTTTCTTCTATTACAGTTTGTGGATTACTAAGTATAAATACGGGTAGAATTTGACGAAAATCCCCACCTAATACTATTTTTTTACCACTAAAAGGTTCACCTTTTTTTTCAGTTAGATCTCAAAGAGTTAAGTCTACAATTTCTATCGCTTTTTTCTGTATCATTGATGCTTCATCTCAAATTATTATGTCCGCTTGATAACACAGCAACTGCTTTGCTGACTGTCCCTTGCTTATCTACAGCTATATAAACAGAGTTGAAACGCGATATTTCCTTCAATCGACTTCAGAAAATATATAGGCAGCTTCGCAAGCAACCCGCAGCCAATAGTGTGCAGCTGTCACGCACACGAGGAGAGAAACCCCGACTCACGAGACAAGTCAAGCGTACCTAGCTCGCTGTTCTATCGTTTCTTCGAGTTCCTTCGACTCGACTCCTTCCTCTTCATTTCCATTTTTCGTACAGTATATATATGTATTATATGTATATATATGGCTCTGAGGCAATAATATTCCGTAGGCAATGGTACTGGATTTGCCCTTACCCGCTTACCATCTCGATAGCCTTTACCAGCTGTTGTAGGCGCTTGAGCTGCTAACATTTGTCTCGATTCGACTGACTAAGGCAGGGGCATATATATAGCTTGTGTCTATTCGGAAAAGTCTCACTGCGCACAGACAAGTATGCAACGATTGTTGGAACTTTCATAAGCTGGAATTTAATTAACTGTGCAGACTTTGTAATTTGTAGCAAGCCTCGCTGTCAAAAACGACGATCTTTCCACGAGTTGTGAGCGCCGCCGAGTAAGAATTTTTTACTCTTGAATAAAAGCTTAGTAATTCATATAAATTGTTGAGTACGTTCAGAAAGCCCTCTTTTACGCAATTCATCATTGCGGGGATCGAGTTGAGTTCACCCCATAAATTGCCAATAGCAGACACTAGTTTCTGCGAAACATCAAAACATATACGAGAAAGCGGTAAAAAAAACAGCGTACACAAGTTCGAGCTTAATATAATAGCATTTTTGGCCTCTTCGGAAAGTTATGCATGACCTAGCTTATACAAGCGGTGCAAAGAGAGTCATTCGTGCGATGCTTCTCGGACAGAGAAGAAGGGATAAAGAGGATGCAGACGCACACCTGGCTTCTTGGCATGGTTTACATATAGGTACTCTGCACTCGCTCGTCTTACTCGTCATAGGTACACCGAACATGCTTAGAGGTGCGTGTGCTTGCTTGTGCCGTCTTGATATATTATGTCGAGTCGAAAATCTTGCGAAGACGTATCCAACTTAAGGTGTCTGTTATTTCTCGATTTGTTTTTATTGCCTCTTCCTTCCCATAGATGTCTTTTATTCTACTATAACATGAGAATTAAATGTATTTTTAAATGGGAAAAAATTGAAAATTAGATTCTTAGTGCTGAAAATGAAAAAAAAAACTGGCAACTGACACTTTTACATCAAATGGCCCTATGCATCTTTCGGCGTTACAAAATCTTTCCTTTAGCTGTAAATTGCGAGTGTAACTTATAATTTAACAGGGGAATTGTATAAGCGTACAGTAACGCATAAGCTGTGGCGCCTTTAGTTAGATTTTGCAGTTTTCTCTTCAATGAACTCCAATAAATTAAAAAAGTTTCCTTATTCTTGTCAATTCCTGATTAAATTTACCTTCATCATCGCAAAATCGTACATAAAAATCTTGATAGAACATCAGTTCTACCATTATGAAAACTGAAAAAATCCCATGTTAAACCAAATCGAATAAATGTAGAGTAAATACATCGATTACCTGTACTTATTATATGTAGTCAAATTCGACAAAATATTATATGTAATGAATATTAGATTATAGATTATAGATTTTAAAGTTTAAAATTTTTATAAATTTTAAATTTGTTCGATTTGCATAAAATAGTTATTTATGTAACAAGTGCCCAAAAGGCGTTTTTGGGCACGAGTGTGCGGAAAAAGACACGAGTGCCGGCTATGCCGGCACGAGTGAGTGTTTTTTCCGCACACTGTGCGCAAAAAGCTGGGCACGTGTTGCATATTAGTATATTTTGTAACAAGTGCGCGAAGCAGTTGACTCATCCAGGAGTTGTTTTCACCCGAGCGTAGCGAGGGTGCAAAGACTCCTGGGTGAGTCAACTTCCTCGCGGACTAGTTGCAAACGATATTTTTTAACTCTGCTTGCGAGAAACTAGGGTTTTCTGACGATTTAAGGTTAGAAAGCCCGTGTTTCGCGCACGCAGTGTTAAAAAGAATTTTCTCACATTCCATTCAATAGAATAGTTTTTTTGCCACTATTATTATTATTTAAAAAACGAAAAATGAGCCAATGAATATACCTAAAAGTAACACACTACTTCGGATAAAACAAGTCAAATAGTAAACGCAAGAACTTCACTATAGCTTATCACTAATAGGTGACTCACGCGCGCAAACAGCAAATGCAAGCAATGTAAAGAAATCGGGGAGTTCACGCGTGCACAGGTATATAATAAATCGCGTGTAATGTACGTATGTAATACCGTTGGCCGCCTAGAACTTTTTATTCTCTTATTAGCAAAAATTTCATTGTACCGACAATATGTCTTTCCCTTCTTCATGCACAGTTGCTCGCTCTCTTTAGTCCATTTTTCTTGCTATGTGTTCCCTATAATTACATGCATAATGTGATAAAACACACGTTATGTTTGTTACCCTGCAAAATTTAATTGTCTTTTTTCACTATTTGATCAGTCAGACAATTCATCATGAGATCACTTGTTTCAACAGACAAACATAAGTTCAAGTGCTCTGCAATTTTATCGTGCTATGTTTATCATTATGAACATTCTTTTTATTTTTGATACCCTTTCTTTTCTTCATAACCGTAACTTAAAGAAGTGGAACGACCTTTATTTCTTATGCAATTATAAGGCCTTCACAGTCGGCCTTATGATTATTCTCCGTTATTATGTGCCTATCTCTTAATCAATTCTGCTTGACAGCATAACTGTTATGAACCCATATGTCATCTTTTGACACTTCAAATTGTTATGAAATTTGTCTAAATACTAAGCATTATAGTGAGCATATAATCTCACTCGAAAGAGAAAAGTACGGATAGTCAGTAGAAGAGAGAAGATGAAATTTATTAGTTTTTTTTACATCAGAAAACATGTCTCTAGTATCTTTAATTTTTTTAATTGGTTCTGGATTCATCAATAATGGCCATGATTTATCTATGATTCCCTGTGTCAAAGTTCTGTGCTGCATGAATCTAAATGCAATTTTTGATCATTATGGACCTTAGGTGGAGCAGATTTTTGATTCAATTACTTATTCAATCTGCCAGTCTTAAAAACTACCAATAAGCGCTAAATTTTAGTATGCAAAAAATTTTCCAAGCCTTTTTTTGAAATACTTACTATTCCACCTACAGTACAAGTTTCGGGGTTGTGAATACTTATGGCTTTATTTCCTACGTTTATATCGTATATTTTTGCATTTAAAATGTATACTTTTCGTTTTTTGTTATAAAACTTGATTAAGAACTTGAAAGGTATAAGATGATTTTCTTAACACAAAGAAGTCAGTTTTTTAAAGCAAGCACCTTCGAAATGATGTACACCCGCCGGGTTAGATAAGCGGACCCCAAAAATTTGAGATCGATTAGTCGCTTCCTTCACTGCGCAGCGTACGTCGTAAAAATGTAGTCACGCGCTGTTGTTTATAAACAGTGAAGGAAGCGACTAATCGATCTCAAATTTTCGAGGTCCGCGTATCTAACCCGGCGGGTGTACAATCATTTCATCATTTTTAAAGGGATAAGTAAGTTCAAATGAAATTAAATATTAAATAGTGGAGGAAATTATAATGAATAAACACTTTTAACATCACTACTGTTTTGAAAAATATTTACTCTTCATTTTCTCGATATTAATGAAAGTTTGAAAAAAATAGAAACAAATCTGGTACCTTAACTTTGTAAGGTTTACAATTTATTTTTTATTTTTAAGTCAACATATTCACTGAAACTGTTGAAATTGTATATATTCTGTACTAATATTTTGCTTAATTTTTTATATTGCAGAAACCTGAAGAGGCATCAATGAAAGAAGAAGCCAAAAATGAACCAGTTACCGAAGAAGTTGCGGTTTCTGATACTACGCTCGAAAATAACGCACCTGAATTAACGTCTCCATCCGAACCAACCAGTCCTGCCAGTCCAACTAGCCCATCTGATACTCCTAACACCAAGGAAAAGAAAAAGAAGGAGGTATACTCGCCTACCATTTGTTTTTTCATCGTTTTTATTTTCACTCATATTCGCTTTACTTACAAGTGAGAAATAAAACTCAATTTGTATTGCTTTTTAATTACAGAAAAAGAAGTGGTCATTCAGATCAATCAGCTTCAGCAGAAAAGATAAGAGCAGGCCAAAAGACACGGCATCAAAGAACGGAGACGTTGCCAAGGAAGAACCTCTGGCAGAGGTAAGTTTAGTGTCATTGCTTTTACGAACTGTAATCAAAATCTCCTTTAACACAAACAAATTATCTGATCTTACCGTTACGATAAAATGTATTAAACTTATTTTGGAATTTTTCATTCCAACGAGGTATTGTAAGATAGCAAGTTTCCTTGAAATTTTATAAAAGCATTTTTGACTGACCACCACCTCATTCAGTGGTTTGTTTGAACTATAAATCAATAAAAACTTTTAATTGGAATAATTTAAATGAATCACCAATTACTTGTGGTCAAAAAAGTTTAAACTGACCGTACTGGTGAATGTTGCATGACAAGTGATATTCGGCTTAAGTCGTAGTGAATAAATCCAGTTACAGTGCATTTGTTAAAATGTAAAAAAAGATTAAGATTAGACGCTTGAATACAAATAATTTGTAAAATTGTTGAAAAAATTGACACTGAATAGCTCAGCTGTTCGTAATGAGATTAGGTATACTTACAGTTGACAAAATCGAATCGTGCTTTGTTTCTAAATTTCTTCTTTTTTCGCTTTATCTTGACGATATAATTTAATCAAAATTCGATTTTTAAGCTCATTTCAAGGTTTCAGGTATGATATTCAATGCATCACTCTTGTCTTCGCTTCCACCCGATAACCCTTGACTGACTTCAAGTATCCTCCATTACATTATGATCAAACAATTTTTTACAGGTTTAGTTATGAATGAAGATAAAACTATAGCTCACTGAGAAAAATGACTTCTCAAATTTCTCTATATTTATAAAAATTGTTCCTTTAACATACTACTGACAAGGAGAACCTTTAATTTCCGGGTCTGAGTCCCTACCTGAAAAGTATTTGTACTCTAACTTTTCCATGTCCTGAACACCTTACCAAACAATAAGTATTTAACTCAATCTGTTTACTGTGAAGGTGTTGAAATACATTGTTTGGGAAGTCAGGAATGTACAAAAAAATTATAGAGCGATTGGGGCCTTCCATCACCATTTTTCAGAATTCCAAAGTTAGCCTTTTTCGCATTTTTCCGTAATTTATCTAAGATCGCAAATATTTCATTAAGCTCTAGCTCAGTGTAGAAAAACTCAAAAGTAAAAGTGCATGGGACCTTTTTTGTTGGAAATCGTCCAAATTTTCAAAAAAAAAAAAAAAAAAAACACAAAATCTAATCAAGTATGATCCGGACTTTCCTTTCTATAACTATTTAAGAAGCTTCCTCAACATGTCAACTACTCGCTTGTAAATTTTTATAATGGTTTGAGCATTATTACGCTCTGGAGACGCTAATATGTATCGAAAAACGTGCAAAAAAGGCCCCTAAAGCAGAGTATAGCCTTAGATCTTTACATGTTATACATGCTAGGCAAACTCAAACCTCAAACATAAGTACATGATAAACTTGAAGAGCACAAAATTACCTTTAATTTGCTATATGTAAAAACTCTCTAAGTCCTCTAGAACCGAAGATACAGCTGTTTGAAGTTTCACTGAGAATTAAAGCATTCAATCTGTTCTTTTCATAGACCAGTTGATATGATACTTGAATGTTCAGTAAAACTTCAAATAGCTCTATTCGTAACGCAGAGAGTCATTAAAAATGAAAGTGATGGTTCATATTTTCTTATAACGCCAACTTTTTTCTGTCTCTTTTGTATTTTATGAGTATCAGCATTGTTGTCGCATGTGTGTATTTCATTGTATTAAACAAGTTCAATGACACGAGTTTTAATTTGCATCGAACCCATTCATCTCAAATTTGCAAGTCAAATAAAATGCTTCGCAATTAAAAACTTAGCTCAGCAAAAAGTCTGCGTCAGTTGAACGGATTGATATTTACGACGCAGGCACGACCAGGCGATATTGCGTGAAGAATTTGGGTTCGTGACCGATAGTCTTGAGAATAAGTTAAATTATGACCGAGACTATGATTCCCATAAAGTAGCCCGGGTGATTAAGAAGAAGATTGCCTTGTGTATATCAGTGATGTTTGTTCTAGACGTATAGAGTAAGCTCGCCAATGTCCTCGTGACAGCAAGTGCCGGTTGGCGACTGCGCTAATTGTAAATTTCCCCTGGGTTTCTTGTAAATTTTTTTTCCCTGCGCTCCATCGTCTGCTTGAAAACCACTAAGTGCCAGATACAGCGACAAACAACAGTGCAGAATTTCGAGGGTGTGTCTGAAACGCTTAGATAAATTTATTCCTCAGCCCATCATGCGCAATCTATATCTTGTCGCAATTACCAGCACTGAGGTCATGTATACCGCGATTTGTTTTTTTTTTCAAACCACTTGATATTTTTTGTTAATTTTCTCATCATCATGAAAGTCTCATTTTTTAAAACAAATTTGTCAATATTTTTTATTTTGTTATTTGAAATGGTTTACATTTTAAAGCTTCAACAGTAGCGATCGAATAGTAGTTCAATTTTTTCAATAAATTGAAGTTCATCGCTTACCATTGCTAGAAGTGTGAAAAAATGATAAGTATCAAACACGTTTTCTAGGATTTCATCATTGCAATAATTTGACTTGCATAATAAAAAAGAAATTGCATAATAAAAAAGAAAAGAACAAAGCCATTTCATACGATACGATATACAAACGCGTAGGGTAAAACAACGAGAAGCTTAAGATAAACGTGTCGCTGACATGAGCTTTAAGATATATCAAAGACCTTTAGTGAACTTTGAGATATAGCACGAAGTTACGCACATGCGTATACGATATGTATTTTTATGTATGTACGCATGGGTATGAATTTATCGAAGCTTTTGGTCACATAAATTATTCTATGAGCATAAGCGATGAAACATAAATTTACCCAATCGTGCGCTATCATGATCTTATTGCCGAGTCTGTTAGTGGAAAATGAGAACGAGAGAAGAGAGAGTCGTACGTCTTCACCCCTATCACTCAAGAGGTTCAGCGCGTATTTTGCATGTCTTCGCTGTCCTGCTTCAAAGCCATTTGCTCTTTTAACGAGATTGTAAATACGCTTTTATATACAATGCATGAAGAACCATGTTTTTATGTTCCCTACGCGAATTGGCAGGCCCAAAAAATGTTGACATTTCGGACAAATGAACATTTTTTATTTTCCATTTGTCGGATAAATAATCGTACTCTGAAATTTTCGTTTTTATTATTAAGTTTCATAAAGCTTAAAATAATTCATAGTAATAGTCGTGGACTTGTTGGTCGTGTTGAGTAAGTTTAAAAACTCCAACACACATGGCATTAAAAAGTTACTTCTCTCAAGTTACTAGACAAATCTCAACCAAATTCGGCAAAGTTTAATCACTATGTTCCATAAACTGCTCATAGTAATAGGATCGGTCGTTAATCTGACTCAAGTTATATCTGATCTCTCTCTCTCTCTCTCTCTCTCTATAAGCAAGTATACACTGTACATATGTATTGCTCTAAAGAATTGGTTTGAAAAGTAAAGAGGAGGCGAGTAGAGCGCCGGCGCGTGCAAACGTTCCGACCCCCGGGATTCCGGTGCAGCAGCTGCAGCGCCAATCAATAAGATCTCTCATCCGCTCAATTTTATACTGTTTGCGAGTTTCAGGTGCGTCTTCGTTACCTTTTAAGCGGCAAATATGTTATTTGTCTTTCACTTCATTCGTATCTCTGCAAGGTGATTCGCGAAGATTACGCTTCTCCATTCGATTTTTGTAGTAGCTTCGCCATGTACAAGAATCTCACTTTGCGTTATGCGCATTCTCGTTACGAGCTCACTACAGTGAAAACTAGCTCGTGTACCCTCGCCCCTGGTTATCCTTGATGCGAGTTGCTTATACATTTGTCGCTCTTAACCGCGTGTCTGAACTAATAACTTATCGCTCTTAGCTTATCACGTGCTCAATCGTATAGGTACATACGTGCGCGACCCGAGCTATAACAGGGATGAAGAAAAATGATATTTGAAAAAGTTATCACACACTCGTTTTTGCACTCGTGTAGATAAATTGAGAAGATTGGCTTTTCACGCGGCAAGTGCGGCATGCATTAAATGCCCAACTGAGGATGTTAGCAAACCTGCACTCGGCGTGAATCTTGTGAATCGTTTTATTCCAACGATCTGGGACCTAGCTTTCACGATAAGGCTGAACTTGTAACTTTTTTGCACGTGACTTACAAAATTAAAATTTTTTAATTGTGCATCAAAATAAAACAGCTTAGCAAAACGCTTGGCAAGACAACAAAAAATCGTCGAGAACTTGATTTTACCTCTATTTTGCGCGCTGATAATTTGTACATAAGGCAGGGAAAAGGTAGGGGAATTTCAAAAAAAAAATTTTTTTTTTGAACTTACAGTAAATTGAATTGATCCATAAATCATATATTTATAATTAATAGTTATTTGTGGAATATTCAGTTAAATTTTCAGTCTAAAATAACGAAAAATAAACTAGCTACAGGAAATTTTCACACGCAATGAAAAAAAATCCAGTGGACACTGTGACTCAAAATTTACTCGACCGATCCACTTCATACCTAACACATTATTTGAGTAAATAATATATGAGGTAATGACTTCAAGATAATTGAACTTTTTGCATTGTTAAACGCTTTTTACCAACATATAAGATGACTTTTTAAATGACAAAAACTAAAAATCATTTTTAACGAAAAATCTCGATACCATTACCTCATATTTTATGTAGTTAAATAGTGTGAAAAAATTGAAGATGATCGGTTGAGTAAATGTTCAGCTACAATGTCCCCCGCAAATAATTTTTTTTCAAACTATAGTTAGCTTATTTTTTGTTATTTTGAGCTGAAAATTCAACTGAATGTTCTTCAAATAACTGTTTATAATATATTATTTATAGATAAATCCATTTTACTATATGCTAAAAAAAAGGTATTAAAATGATGCTTGAGAACAATCTAACACACCCCCCTTCATTAATTTTCCTAACTTGTTAATTTGTTGAAATCGACCAAGATTTTTTAAATTTATTTTCATATGTTTGGTACCTTCATTGAAAGAACACGACGTTTGTTATTCACCATGTAGTGCGTACTAGATAATAAGCTAGCAAACTCGGGCTTCAGATTGTAACGAGATTTCCTGCTGCGTACGCGCCTCGACTATAAGGTGTCGAAGTAATTTTCCTCGACCCAACGTGGCTGCGGCTACGGCAGCGCCGTCACTGTACATCAGATGGCGCATACGCGATGGCTTTTCGATAGTGTCAAGACTTATACCGGTTATTTCTTCTTCCAATCCTACAAGCACATTATTTTATGGAATTAAAAAATTGATGATGTTTCTCACTAAGCTGTTTCATGATAAAAAAGTGTTTTTTAATCATGAACTCGATGTTTCTGTTAAGAATTTAATAAGTTGATGTAAAAATTATTTCTGATCTATTTTATAATTAATTTTTAATAATGATATTTAAAAACTCAATTGGTGAAACACTAATGAATATTAATATTTCCATTATACTTTTATGAAAATTTCAACAATTTAAAAATCTCTCAATAACACTAGATATTTAATTAACTCCATCATAAAAAATTTTTTGAGATACCACAAAGTCGCGATTGATAATCTGCAGAAGCGTAGCAAACGTTTTTTAACAATTTTCGCTTACTGACTACTTGATTACATCTAAATAAGAAAATGATTGTAACTTAATGTACTTAAACAGAGTAGAAACAATGCTATGGTTTTTAAATTTTTTTGAAATGGAAAGTTAGGAAACATTATATTCTCGTTTGAAAGGAGATGGAAAAGTTGAGAATTTAGCAAGACAGGTTCGTACTGAAAAAACGTTACACGCACATAAAAAGCTTCATCCGCAGTAACTGTTTTTCCTAGAATCTCTAGAAAAGTCTTATATATTAGCTCAAATGCAACATCAGAGCGTCTGAAAAATATCGCATTATGATATATGATATATATCGTATATGATATATATATGATATATGTATTAGAGCAAAAATGAGCAAAAACAAGTGAGTCGGACAAGTGAGAAAAAACAAATCAATCTCACCGCGATTTCGACTCAATATGCCTCTTATGGAGAACTTTGTATGTTCTGAGAGGAAAGAAGAAGTTATTAGCTTTACATAACTTTGAATTAAATGTTGAATGTTGGATGTTGAAACAAAACTTTATCATTTACGGCTACGTTGCCAACCTAAATTCAGCGAGCGAAAACTTTTTTGCCACTTCGTTTGAATAATCTACCTTTTTGCTTCTGCGCTTGAGTTAGATACCTTTTTGCTGCTGCGCTCGAGTTCGATACCTTTTTGTCTCTGCGCGCGAGATTATAGATAATTATCAGTAAAAGTTTCAGAAAGATGGATTTGTCATTTAATTTTTAGGCTGGCTTTCAAATCTCCTGAAAGATGAATTTCTTATTTCACAGATGTCCAGTGACACATGAGTAAATTTTATATCGAGCCCTGTGATATATGTGACGCAATAAAGTCACATCAAATTCAAATTTGTCCATCCTAATCGTAATATTTCTAACCTATACTTAAAAACTTTATTTTTTGTTTTAGGTAAGTGAAGCACGATCTCTGAGAGGAATTGGTCAGCGACTTCGCGAGCGGTTTTTTAAGGTTTGACACGTCCAATTTTTTTTATCCACCAATTTTCTTCTTCGCAACGTCTTTCTGCGTTCATACTTCTATCATGATTCTAACATGATTATTAAATAAAGAAACAATATTTTGATGAATGAAAGACCAAGTGTTACCAGGGACACTTGCGTCCGATGGTTGCAATATAAATAGTATAAAAAACGTATTGAAAATTTCTATTTCAATTGCATGGGCCATAAAGATAGGAAAAAGAGGAAAGTTAATAATGATTGGGTGATTAAAATAAATGGCTAAGTATAAATGCAACGGACGACTTTACGATAATGAAAAACAATAATCATTTTTGTTAACACTGTGTTGTATTGGGGCTAAAATTAATTTCGAAATATTTGCTCTGATCATGCCAAAATCATAAATAACATATCTGTTTCCTTGATAAATAACATAACAAACTATTATAGTTTTGAAGAACTTGCTCATTCGTATTTATGAAAATATACGATTTTTATGTATCAAATAAGATGATCTCCAAGAGTGGTAATATTGCCAATTTTATGTGACTTTTTTGTCGTTTTTCTCCATTTTACTGAGACTTGCTACTTTTTTAACGAGAGAATAAAATGACATGCCTTTAGAAGAACAGTTCTTGCCGCGGGTGCATTTTATTATTCAATTTTATAAGCCCTTAAACTTGTTTGTTACATAGTAATCGTTGAATTGTATAACAAACGGCATTTTTTAAAGTGAAATTCCTTTATATGTTTTTAATACAGTTGTCCACATTTGTTTCACGTTCATAACTTCTTATGTACGGCCAATTCTCTGTGAAGTCGAATGGCCAAAATAATTTTTTTTCTGCAAATTTGAAAAACTTGTTGTATTTGATGTCAGATTTGTCCCTAAAAAATTTTAGAAAAATTTGGGCTTCCTATGACACTTTTTCAGAGGCCCAAAGTTGGCCATTTTAGGGTTTTTTCGAAATTCATGAAAAATCACAAATTCATATAATTCTTAGATTAAAGTAGAATGATTCAAAAGTAAAAGTGCCCACGAGCTTTTTTGTTGTAAATTGTCCAAATTTTCAGAAAAAAGTATGCCAAAGTGATTTGAGCTATCTAGGAAAGTGGAAAGGGCAAAAAACTTGAAACTATAGGTCATTACGGCATGAAATAAGTAAAGCCTGCTTAAATTTAGCGAATAGCGTGTATCAGTTAATCAGTTTAAGCTGAGATCTTATGCAAAGTACTTATTTCATATACCTTTGTACAAACCGCTGTAGTGTTACATAAATTTTAAGCCACTTTGAACCCCGTTTCATAAGAGATACATGTGTTCAATTAAAAAAAATGTATCTTGTCTACAAAGTATAGTTGTAACACACAGAGATCTCATTTGCCGGCATTCAGCGAAGCATAGCACAATTACATAGTGTCAGTTATGCATCCTCTTGGTTGATGCTGCCCCCAGCCGGAAATCCAATGAACCTATATTTTGAATATTTTTTAATATCGTTGGGAAACTTGTCACGATCATTTCTGCGTATCTTATCCAATCGTAATAAGAAGCCAAAAGACTTTTTTAATTACTTCAGTTTTGGCTCAGATGAACTTTTGTTATAAATTTTACGCTCTTAGACTGCGTTATTGTATTGCAAACTGTAAATAAATTGCGAAGGATAATTAATCGATATGAGTATACAGCGAATTAGTTCTGGACGACTCTCTGTGCAAAGATATACGAAAACACTTTCACTCATAATTCTCAGAAAGTAATCACCCACTTTCAAATGATTAATGATAATTAATTGGATACAATTGTTTGTCCAATAAAGAGAGATCAACCGTCCACTCCAATTACCAAACTACTCAGTCCGTTCTTATTATTTGGGTAATTTATTGTACGTAGCCCATAGAGTCTACTAAAAAAGTCTATTTACTAAGTTATGCCAAGTGAGAAAGAGGAGAGTAAAAAGAAAAACGAGAGAGAAAAGACCAATGCAACTATTTTTCAATCGAAACGCGCTCAAAAACCAAGCTATTGGTGGATTTCATTCGACACCCGGTAGCAGTGGTAGCCATAACTCGTGACGATCACATGCGCTACAGATTTTTTATCATTTGCAAAATAGTAAAACGATGAGTAAAAAACATTGTCAACGACGCAGTAAGATATATAATACTCGATACTCTGTCCACGTGCGCGACTAGCAAATACGCACGCGTATCCATTATAAGGCACGCACGCCAGAGTGTATTATATCACTTGGGATTTTTCGATACGCACATATAGTATGTATATGCCAAGAGGTTGTGCTACGAGTCCCGAGTGCTGGTGGCGTCAGCCAGCCGTCTTCGTTGCCGTCAATTCCAAACGACGCGTACAATATATATTGTGTAAGGTATAGAGTGTCGGGTTTTGCTCGCGCGATCCTAACTTATTTTAAAAGACAGACGAGAATAGACATGTTTATATAGATGAAGCAAGAGAGTGAGAGACCATGTAGCGGCGTGGTTTGCGGCTGTACAACGATTTTTCACGCCAGGGAGTCGACGACGACACCGTCGCTTCTTTTTCCTTTCTTGTCGTGTTTTTTATCTCGATCTACGAGGGCACATATTTTTTTTTCTTCGGACTATTGCTGCATTACTCAGCGTTTCGATGCTTACACTTGCGAACCACGATTGAAAGTTGCTATTATTTTAAAATATATTCCGGCTTATTAAGTTTACACTCGAGATCTAATTCATGCATGCAATGTCTCTGTTTGTATTTGGTTAAATATACCTTCTGATTTTATACCGAAGACGTAGCTCAAAATTGTAATTTTGGGCACAGTGCCAATGATCCATGCCATTGAATTGTCTTTGCGAAATTGAAAGTAAAAAACAAAACGTTACACATTTGCTTTTTCTGGCATTTAAGATAAAACACTCGAGTGTGAATATTAAGTGCGCATCTGGATTCTCATTAACATCGATAATCATTTACTTGAGTGCAAATCTGATGCAACGAGATTAAAAATCATGAAATACCATGCAACTTATCCTAAGCACCTACGGGAAATGCGTCGTTGCAATAATTACGTAAAAGTCGCGAAGAGTACATACGCGTAGTAGGGACAAGAATATGAAACAAACGTCACGGCGTCATTTAATTTATATGCGTCTGCCAATGGACACGTGCAACGGAATGTTGGAAACTACCTAGCCGGAAGCTTGGTATCGACTGCTCGATTGATACGCTGCGTGACTGAGAGTGAAAAATCCATGTATTTTTGCAACAACTGCCAACGCGATCCGGCTTGGAGTAATCGAGCCATAAATTCAACCCTAGGATCCTATCAATACGCGATCCGCACGCAACGGCAGCAGTGCCTACTTCCTGCTCTCGCCTACCTTGCAGCGCGTAGCTCTATTGCGCCGTGCCTACGCGCTTTCTGCTTTATCCGCAAGGTGCATGCGCACGCGTATATTATGTACGGAGCTTTGATTGTTACTTCGATCCACCACGTTATTTCTCGCGCGAATCTTGAGGCTCCCTCCACAGCCGTTGCGGCGAATTTTCGTCATCGCTTTGGCCGCGCTCTACACGATCGCGGGTAGGACAACGTCAAGCGTCTATAGACTCTAGGGTGTGGGCTGCTGCCTGCCCCGCTGCTGCTGCTGCTGCTGCTGCTGCTCACGCACTGATCGCCGCCGAGACTATATAAAGATACCGGTAAGCCTGCCCGACTTGGAGTAGTCAACGGCAGCTTCGCAGGCCAAAAAGTTGGCGTTTTACTGCTTTGGATTTGCTTAGTAGTTATCGAATCAGTGCTTCGAGTTGCACGCTTGCATCGACTTTAGCTGCATCTTTCAATAAACGATTTGTTTACTTTATAATTGTAACGTGCATCACTTAGCCGAATTTTATAGCCAGTGAACTGTCCGAGTCTTAAAATTTCATCGTGGTTGCTAAGAATCATTCAATACTATTTCATTCAGTTTTATCAATTAATGCTTTAACATTCGATTTAGTTGTGAAATATATTGTTGAAAACTCATTTAATATGATCGAGGAATTTCCTTCGAGTTGTTAGTTGTGTCTTTAAAAATAGATATTACTTAAATGTATTTCTAAATGCATGACTTTACGCTTCGTTTCTAAACCAAAAATAGAAACTCGTGATCGCGTAAATTTCTCGAAAACTGCAACACTCAATTTGTATATATATATATATTTACATATAGTGTACATTGTATATTGCGTACATTTTTTTAAGGCATGCATTGTTGGCATGTTTTCACTTGAAAATATCCACATGTTATGCATGAATACTCCATGAATTCATTGAATTAACACTTTTTCATGTAATGTTCTTGAAGCGAAATGAACTGAATGAAAAGTTCTGTGCGATTATATGTTGAATCTTATATGCTACTGTGTGTCGATCGTAATTTAGCTCATTTGTTTAATAATTTCAGTAGTTGTTACGAATAGAGGCCTCTGGCCTTTTTGTCTCGGTACTAGAGCTTTTAAAGCTCTCGACTCGTTTCGACAGTTCACTCGCAATAAATATAGAGCAGTGTGCGGCGCATGCCGGCCCTGGTTAAAGCTATATAAATCTCGAATCGACCGCGTCTAGATCTCGCTGCAAGCGGCGTAGCAGCGGCAGTGCACAAGCCGAAGCAAGCAGGAAATCATCGGCAACAACGACATGGAGTCCGTGCTCAAGGTAGGCCGGACGATGGGTGGAGGCGTTTGCTGGACCGCTGGTCTTTTGGCTCGCGGTGCCAGGCGCATCTTAGCCGTCTTACCGCTACTAGGTTATCGTAACGAGGAAGATCTTACCCAGGCCACGACGGTACAGTGTTTGCGTGTGATAAATGTCGCTCTGCGTGTGTTGCTGCTGTGTACTTGGCTACATATCTATAATACCCACGTTTGTCGAGCTAGCATGCTCTTTTTCACTTGTTTTGACATGGTTTTTATTTCCCTCGACGGCATAAGATGCAAAAAGTGAGCGCAATATTCTTCAAAATTCTGCCATAATTACCTGACAACTTCTAAAATCCAAAAATTCATTGATCCTTACGTCTTTCAGAATAGAGGATTCAACAAATGCTGTGTTTAATTGAATTTTGCCCTTCATTAAACTTTAATGTTGCAATTAGTAGGCGTCAAGGCACAAAAAGCTTTCAAGCTCGCTCGCTCGCGCCACTAGCCTGTATACACGCATATTCTACATCCTTATAAAGGGCCATTCCATTACACTGATATGACGATGTTGATGATGTAGCCTATTAAACGCGTGGATCATCTTTCCCATGCTACAATGGAGAAAAATTAGAAAAAAAAACAATTAGAGAGAGCTTAATCGCGTTCTAACGCTTCAATTTTTAATCGAAAAAGTTTGCTCTCTTTGATCGTTTACTGGTCAAAATATTCCAAATTTTTACCGTGAAAATAATGATAATCTTTTCTTTACCAATAAAGATTATTCCATGGTGTTGACTCCGAGTATTGCAATCAAAATGGGCTTTTTGCACTTCAAAACCCCTGTGATTTTAAACCATGATTTCCGTAAAATCTAACCCAAATAACATTTTTACATTTCTTTTTCAAATAATACCTCAAATCATTTTCTTGAGTGAAATTAAATTTTCTTTACTGTGAATATACAAATACTAATTTTGTGGTATGTGCATGCTATTTTGCGTTGTCTCGGTTAATAACCTCATGTTGCATTCTTTGCAGTTGATAACACAGTTGGTTTAATACGGTTATCCGTCTAGGGCGCACAATGCATTCAACTTGACAAGAGTAAATCTCAACCGTGTCGTGCTAAAGCAGCATAAAAATAGTCGGGACGCATTGTTGTTGGGTAAAATGAACTAGAACAGTAACTACGAAGTACCGCGTCGAGTGAACGCACGAATCTGTTCCGAATTCCGATAGGTAGTTCTGCAATAAGCAAGACCAAAGACTGAAAATTATCCCTTGCCAGCTGGTAATGGAAAAGTTATATTTTTGAGCACAAAAGTTAAGTTTTCAAGATGAAAGTTGAAATGGATTATTTAGCCAATTAGAACATTGTGACTGGCACTTACTATTTTCTCTAACTTTTTGTCTTAACATACTTTGCACTCCAGGCCCGGTCGAAAATTTCATGCAAATTACAGCAGAAATCGCACGTAGGTCTCAGTTTTTTTTCGACTTCGACTTCAAGTTTTCTGTCCCATTCGTGCATATTGTAGAATAAAAATTGAAGAGTAATGTTGTTTAAATTGTATACAGACCATTTCCCTAATTCAAAGCTCAAATGAAAATAATGAATTATTTATTGATTTAATTGATTGAATGATATAAAGTCTTCGGACTGATGCGCGAAAATGTTTTTACTACTTTGTCGAATGTGCTGGGAAGATGACCAGATTTTACCATTTAGAGGAAGCACAAGTCGTAACAAGGTACATAGTAGGAAGGTTCATGAATTAGAGAGATTCGACTGTTCATATTCAGATTCATGATTCGTGATGATATTTAGACAATGGATATTGATGCACACCGGTGAAAACAATTTTTCCAGTATAACAAAAGTCGTTATGCAAGAAAAGTTGTTATGGAATAAGAATAGAATAAACTTGTCGCATGAAGAAAACTGCCTATTCTAATCCCACGTTAACGATTTTTTCTTTATTCTAACGATTATAACTTTCGACGTAACCATTGGGAAGTAATGCTTCTTGACTTTCCACATTACCAATAGGATAATCCTGTAGCGTTTAATTGCCATACCTGTCAATGTTTTTTTAGTCTTTGAAATCAAGTTAATGTAACTTTTTGGTACAATTGAAAACTTTCCCAATAAAGTCGAGCTCATTTTCTGCATGAATCAAAAAAAGCAAACATCCTGACTTTAATTCGGTTGCACTAGGCGATTGAATCTATTTAATGTCATATACGGGGTTCAGTGGCATCGAGTGAAATGTCTAGTTTATACGTTGCCGCAGCTTATCTATCTTTGCGGTATTTTCTCGCAGTTTCTCAGTCACTCTAGTCTAATTTGTTTCTAATATCTGGTACTGATTCGTGCTTGGCTTAGAATACGTGAAATTTTCACTGTACTTATGAGTGACTCTTAAAATCGAAGGGCTTCACTAGAGAATATTTCATGATTATACAGACATTTTGATTTATTGTTTTTCATTATATGAAATTTTTTGGCCATAAACTTTTTCGATGTTCATTTCGTGAGCAGTTGAGATCGTAAGAGAATATTTGCTTTGCGATTCTGGCATTTTTGCTGAGCGACAATCACGCTGACAATTACTAACTTTGCTATGTTAAATTCGGAATTACGGAGATTCCGAAATCAAGCTAAAATCTCAGAAAATGCGTAGAAAAATGTACATGTTGGCTTGGCTTCGAAATCTTCTTGAGGAATGAATTATTGTAACTATATGACATTACTTATGTAGAATCGTCTTCAGTTATATGGTTCTATCATCGTTTTTGGAAATTGAAAATTTCAGCGACTGAAACTAAATAGCTTGACTTTAAAAAATTAGTTCTTTAAAAAAACGAAAGTATAGCTAAGGGTATTGAATATATCTTTTGTTCTCTTTGGCAGTCAAACTATTAATTGTTCACTGAGTATTTTTTTAGTGTCAAACGCGTATACAAAACGATCGATAAGTTGCCGCGTCTACCAAGTGAGAAAAAAAAATACGTGCTTTCGTAGGTCGTATATATTATTTGTTGTATAGCATATGGCGTGGCTTAAGGAAAAGAGCTTTAGTGTAGTGTGTATAATTAACCAAATTTAAAAACGCGACTGGGCTGAATATGTGTGTACGCTCTTTGTTCGAATTCAAAATTATCTTTCAGATTGTAGTACAGATGTCGAAGTAGTATATAACGCTGAGAAAGTATAATTATTTCATATTCAAAAGTGGTCAATCACTGGGCAAGTACCTAATAATTAATTTAAAAGGTGTTTTTCATCAAGTCATTAGCTGAAATAATTTTATGGGGTTTTAGCGACTTTTTTTGTTTGAAGAATCATCTGATACGCTTAATTCTGTCAATATTCGGTCGATTTTCATACAGGTACTCCCCTTTGATCCCCTTGATTTTCCCAAGTACGAGTTACTGAAGAGACCCACTTTCTGTCTATATTTTTCTTTTTTACACAGTCAAATTATAAAACCCTAAAATTCCAATACTGACGAGCATATTTTCTCATTCTTCACCCTTGATTTTCATCTAATATTGCTTTCCGCTTTATCGAGTGCGTGTAAGTCTACGTACGAATACTCGTGCAATGACAACTACTTGTGTTATGCAAATACTAACCCTATTAAAGATATCCATATCCCAAACCGGGATTTACATTTTGAAACAATTTTTTTGAAACTTTTACTGAATATTTTTCTAAAAAGCTCTATGAAAACTTTTACTTTTGAAAACATGTGTGAAGATTTGAATTTCGAGTTAGAGTACGGATCTACTTAAGTCTTATACATACTTCTAAGCTATTATATTTTTAAGTGCTCAAAAACGTATTAAAATGATGTGATTAATTTATATATTCTATGGATTTAAGGAAGAATAATTGGAAGTCGAATATTTTTTAGATCTGCGTTTAACGGTTAAAATGTGCTTGTCGCAATTCAAATTTTGCTTATACGCAAGCTGGTAATTATGGCTGTAGTGATTGAATATTCGATAGTTTTATTATGTGCGTAGATATAGGTGTTTCGAGTCGTGCAAGCACGTAATGATAATCCTTGAATTTATTTGGCTCGGTATTGTCAGGACGTACACGAGGGGGATCGTTGCGCCGCGCTGTTTAACGTGCCCGCCCTTAGGGGAGAAAGATGGCGCCATGGAAATGATGTGCATACACCCCCCCCCCCCCCCCCCNCCCCCCCCCCCCCGCACAATAATGCCAGTATTATGTACAATTCTTTCTTATTTTGACCCTCAATCTGCAGCGTACAGTTTAACTAGAGTTGAATGTTTTTAAGCTGCTACACGATCCAGAATTATAACCGGCGCTGTACTTGACGATTTTTATGTTCGTTCCACTAAAAATACTAACGGAAGAGACAAAAACTGATTGTTTTTAAGCCGTTGTATGTGCGTTTATTTAGGATTTCTCTCCGATGTATAGTACATATTGTACATATTGACTCATTATCGAGGTTTCAAGAAAAGGAAGTGGAAATCTTAGATTGTCTCGTCGGTATTGCCGCGCTATCGAATGACAGCAAAATGATATTACGCGCAGTTGGACTCGCGCGCACGCACGCACACACACATAGAAACGCGCGATACGCTTATTTACAGTAGTGCTAGAGTATCATGCGCCTCTCGCATACCTCTATACCACTCGCTCGGTCCTGCCTGTCTATCAATGCAGTTTGCGTGTACATGATTGTCTTGAATGCGCGAATTCAATACCTGCGATATCTTCAAGCACATTTGACAAGCTGCATTCCTCTGCGTCTTTGAAATACTATCCTCATACCAATGATAAAGCCTGAACTTGAACTACGTTTCGCGCTCGGACAATCAAATGTCTAAATTGATTATGCTAACAATTGTTATTGTTTTCATTCTTGCCCCTCTCTTTATTTTTTATTTTATATCCACTCATCTTTATACTAATGTGAAATTTTTTGGCTTTTAGGGTGGCGAAGAAGCCGAGGCAGCAGCGGCGGCCGCGACTCCCAGCAGCCCCGAGGAGCCGTCGGTAGTGAACAGCCCGACAGAGGAGAACAAACCAGAAGCCGAAGTAACTCCGGCTGTCGAGGAGAAAAAAGAGGAAGCCAAACTGGTCGAAACTGCAGCCCCTGCCTCAGCTGCTGAAGCCCCTGCCGAGGAAGCAGTTGCTCAAAAGGAGGAGGTCGTCAAGCCCGTAGAGGCTGCCGTGCCAGTCGTTGCTGAACAGAAAGTCGAGGTCAGTGCTGAGTCGGGGGCCGTCGTCGCTGACGAGAGGAAAACCACTGAGGAAACGACTAGCGAGTCACAAGTAGTCCCTCCTTCCCCGATCAAAGCTCAAACTGACTCTACTACTACTACTACTTCTTCTGATACCACTACCTCCTCCGCGAAGACGCTGATAAGTTCGGAAGCCGTTTCCGCCGTAGTCGTTGAAGCACAGCCAGCGCCCGTCAGTCCCCCGTCGACGCCCATCGACACCCTTGCTATGCATCAAACCCCAACCGCTACCGAGTTGGCCGAAGCTCTTGAAGAGCCCGCCGCCGTAGCTGCCGCGGCCGCGCTCGACGGTTCCGCGCCCGCGTCGATCGCTAAATCCGAGGCTGCCGTCGACGACGCTGTTACCGTTGCCGTTGTCGAGTCGGTCAAAGTAGAGACCAACGTCGAGCCCGAGGCATGCCCACGAACGGACGCATTACCATCGCCGCCACCACCGAGCGCCGACGAGATCGAGCCCGTGACCGAACCGCTCGTCGAAGACGACGACGACGACAGCACGCCACCGCCGCTGCCCGAGTCACCGGCTCCCGCCGAATTGCCCAGCTCTAAAGTAGCCAGCTTTGCAGCTAGCACCATGTTGCACGACGAAGAAGACGACGAGGAACTGCCACCCCCGCCACCCATGGTCGAGGAAGCTGAGCTGATTGACCAAGCTCCCCTCGTCGAGGAAGCTGCCGAGACACCCGCTGTCGAGGCCGTTGTTGCAACTCCAGTCCCAGTAGTCCCCGCGGAAGATGTACCCGTACAGAATGGCTTCCACGGCGAGGAGTCGCAAAAAACCACCGCTACCGTCCAAGACGAGGATGAGGAGGAAGAGGCCCCGTCGACCCCCATCACGAGTGACGAGGCCAAATCAGCCGTGCAGCAGCAGGTGACTAACAACACAACACAAAGCAACAAAAAAAATAAAAAAAATAAAAATAAAAAACGTAACAACACATCTCGGCGTCCCACCAACACGTCCCATAGTAAGGGCTCGAGGGGCGCTGCGTAAATTCGTTTGCGTTAAACTAAAAGCAATTAAAAATCGGCAACGCACTCAAACGCGCGAGGCATTCTTTCTCGTGTCTTATTTTTGCAGCATTTAGCCCGCTTTATAAGCTATAATATGAGCTTACGTACATATTATTGTAAATCTATTGAGGGTGCGAGTGATTGTGTGTGAGCCCATATCATGAAATATTATTCATCGACTTTTCTTTTCTTCCTTCATAGTATGATTATTAAAAATCTATACTTTGATTACTTTTTTTCATCGTATCGTCGCAATATCTCATTAATACCTCTATTTATCTATATAATATACATAACACATGGAAAACTAAAAAATTTTGATGTTCAACTGTGCGATATCATTATGCGATATAATTGTATGATTTTTATTTTTCGGGAATCGTCATCGCATTTCTCTATGATTATTTATTATAACGATTATTACATGAGTCTTATGTATTATTTACTCTCTATGTATGTTAAAAAATAACGATACAATAATTGTGCCTTTATGATTTTATAGCCTCGTGAATAGCATTATCACAGCATAATAATGGTTATCGATTGCAAAAAAATGCTGTATAAATTCTCGTGTTCACAATAATTAATACTCCAACGTTTATTATTTATTTAATTTTTGCGACTATTAAAGATGCTTTACACTTATTATTATAAATAATATATTCACGAATGATATTGTACACCTCACGCGCGCGTTCTTGTATTAATATAAAAATATATATGTACATTTATATATACATATATATATCTCATATTTACATATATATATATGTCGTTGGATTTGTTTCGCAGCTACGTCATTATCAATCGTTGTGTAACAATTTTCGAATGCGGTGCGATAATATATTTATATCCATTAATGCATACGTACATGTATATATAATTTATAATTATATATAAATATATAATTTTAAAGTGGAAAGTTCACTACAATATTGCGCTATTATTTATTGTGAACTGTAATATTGTACGACTGTAAAAGTACCTGTAGGTCTTTTAAGACTAATGAAGAGTGCATTAGGTTAGCTACATTTGTATTATCAATTGTTCCAATTTCTCACATAATTACCTTAACGGTTTCTACCAATTCTGAAGTACTTCTGTTACAATTCTTCAATTAACATAAAAAACCTTTTTTTATGTTTTTCCACTTTTTTGAATTTCATTTCTGCATACCAAATATTCTCAAAAATTTGAGAAACTGAGGTCTATTCCTCCATAAGTTGATAACTAATTTCAATGTTTAGTGAACAATAATTTAACTAATGTATTTATTAATGCAAATTATTCAGTTTTGAGACTGTTGTGAGTAGACCTCACGTCTAATACTCTAGGAGATTTTAAAGAGAAAAATCATTATGTCTCAATAAGTAATCCATGTCTGATGCGAATATGCATTCCGGAGCTTCAAAATCTTAATGTATATGTGTATATGAACGAATGTGAAAATGACGAATGTCTGTTGAAGATAATATAGCGAATCTGGTGTACATCGATGGGCAAAAACGTTGGACTCGAAAATCGGTTGTGTGATATTATCTGATTATCCCACAATTTTTGTCTTTGTCCGTTGGATCATTAATAAGAACGTACATAATATATCATAAATTAACAATAACTTCGTAATACACATGCTTTTGACGTGCTCAGGAAACTCGATTTATCATCCTCTTTCAATTCCTATTCTTTGATTCCTAACGCCACCAATACATTTACCTGTGTTGTTTTACCTCTTGGTTTTCTCATCATTATTAACACTATGGAAATCTATATGCAATTATGTTCGATAACAGAAATATAATCATGTATTGTGCTACCGATAGAAATTAGACGTTTATCCAATATTTATTTATAGCAAAGTTGTTAATGGCAACGTTGTGTTATGTATTTCAATATGAAAAATAAATAATATTAAATTTAAACGAGAAACTTTAAGTTTTTATTTCCCTGAGTTTTTTTTTATTCTTAAAAACAATAAATAAAAAACGTCTAATTTTACGGATATCAAGCAAATACAATTACGCTGCATAAAGAAAAAAATAATCGCTGCAGAGCTTATTGGAAAATAAAAATTTTTAATATCCAGTAATTAAATAAAGTATATGAGAAAAGGCATTCGTAATTGCATTTGTTCACGTAGTGTTCTTAACTATTTATGCATATCATAATTGCATGCAACAGTTGCTTTGTTTTAATCATTAACGAACACTGAAAATCATTAAACGCTTGACTCATCGTTCGAATACAAATGACATTTTATTGTAATTAGTCGAAATAATTTACTGTTCATCGAAGTAGCAGATATAAAGATCAATACTTGGATTGAAGATGTGTAATTACAAAAATGTATATGTTAATATTGACTTCACTGTGTAAACTACAAAGTTTACAAGTACTTATTTATTCATTCACTTTTTCTTGGAATTTTTTAAATGGAATTATTAAACTGATTTAATTGAAAAGTTATAAAAAAGGTTTCTTTACCAAGCGTGAAATGATTTCAGAACAATGTATGATTAACTTTTTTGTCAAATATAAAGGTTTCAATGAAAAAATCAATTGAAGCCATATGCATGCGACAAACGTAACTTCACGAGTTAAATTTGAATCTAAGAGTCATTCTTCATGGTAAATTTCAAAATTTTACAGGAACTTGAGACGGTCCCAGAGCCACCAAAAACAAATGGAATTCCTGATGATGCACCCGTAAGCCCACCACCAGCTATACCTACTGAGATAGTTCAATTGGCACCCGCCATCACCGAGGACGTCGCTTCAGTGATCAAGGTATGTTACGTACACTAGCCAAAGTTATACACTACAGCTTATAGAGTAATTGTAGAATATTTACATTGAAATAGACTTTTTAAGAATTTCTTAGCATATTTTGTACACTTCATATTTGATTTTAAAGTTATAGGATATGTTTGAAATTATAGAAGTTATTTTTTAAAGTTATACGAGTTCATCTTTCTATTCGAAATTTTTAATGAAAAAAAAATTAAAAATCTATGAAGCTAATATTTTACAATTAATTTCAATACTCATTCGAATCTAATAAAGTGGTCAGACTTACGTGTACACACTTTATTTAACTTAATTCTGGCAAATGATGATCGCCAATCAATTATCACTGTTTGCGTTAAAACAGTGATAATTCTTAAGATCGCTATTATTAAAAATGTCGATCTGTGAAGACATTTGAGCGAGGGGCCATCTGATGATTTTTTTTGTTTTGTTATTTAAGATGATTTTTCTATATGATAGAATTATATACTACTTGTATGTCTTTTAGGCCATCGAAGAAATTGATATCAACGAGAAAGCTGTCGCAGCCGCTGTTGAGAGTGCTGGAGTGAATGTAAGTTTTTACTAATGCTTTTATAGTACTTTACGATACTAGTAGCATAAGTAACACTTTATGGCACGAGTATCGTACGATAATATAATCGTTTATAGTACTGTGCAAAGTTTACATTTATGCCCCCTTTTCCGAGTCATGAGTCCACAGAAAAGCCACAGAAAAGCATGCCATAAATGTGAACTTCTGCCACGCAGTGCTATAAAAATTATTAGCGATATACATAAAATTCAAATATTATTCAGAATAAAATACTATTAAACCTTCAAAGTAATGAAAAAACAATAAAAATTTTTTTTAGGAAATCGTCGCCGATTCGGTCCACCAAAACAACATGAATGAATAAATGCCGCTAACCGAACCGTATTTGGGAAGAAGAAAGTTTTTTCTCTCGTTAAAACCAAAAAAGTATATTATATAGATATGTATATTTGGACCATTCCTTTTACAAAACCGAAAATGACGTTTTTCGTTACGAGCAACAGTAAAAAAAATAATAAAAGTATATGGAGGGACGAAGATGACTACTATTAAATACTTAACGTGGTATCGCAATATTGCACACAGATTTTTTAAAGTAGGCCTATATTAATTGTTCATATATTCATAATGGCACTTGACATCAAGCAAATGGACTTGACAGAGAAAAATGATGTAGTTTTTTCTATTGCTACTTGGATTTATTTGAAAAAATTGACCAAAAGTTTTAGATCCAATAAAAAAGAATGATTTGAATGCATATTATTAATAGAAGCGCGAATAAAAAGTTTGAAGAAAAATAAATGGTAATGTATGACTCGAACGACCACCGTCGATTTTTTCCGGTTTTGCAAACCGAGAGTCATTGCCGATTCATAAGCTATTTCGCGAAGCGAGCATACGAGAAAGAAAGTTTTTAAATACTGGGCCGTGCCCAGCCGCAGGTTATAATGATATTTCCCTGCAGATTGTAGAAATTTTAAAGTGTCATTGATTGTTATTAAGATTAATATTAATAATTAAAAAAGAGCAGCATCAAAACGAAAGACATTAAATCTGCGATGGACAGAAAACAAAAGTTTAACATTTTTTTTCCTTCCATCGCAAATGTGTCGCTCATCGTTTTGCACTCTACGAGAAATACTCAAATGAAAATGATTTTAAAAAATAAAGATAAAAAAATGATAGAAAGAGAATGAAATGGGTTACAGCCTACCGTAAATACACTATTATTGTATACTGTAGAGAAAAAACTTTGTAGGAGGACGGAAAAAATAAACTGTGGCGATATTTGATTTAGCTAAGCTTAAAAGTTTTAAAAGTGTAGCGATGGATGAAAGGAAAAGTAAGTGCGCAAATATTTGTGAAATTGCGTAATTTTAATGAATGTGAGTGCACGAAAGTATACGATTTGATTAAGAAAGGAATTCGATGCGTAAACGGTAGACGTATGCAGAAAAGAAAAGTATGCTCGACAAAACGAAAAATATGAAGTTGCAAATGCGGTGAATGCAAAATTTGAAAATAGTTCACTTAAGGACCGGCACATAAATATTGTATGGTTATACTCGTTAAGCACTCATTTTCGATAATATTAAAAAATTTTTTACGCACAAGAGTTATAATAATGCAACGCTTTTTTGTGATTTATTATTTTCGCTACTTTTGTACGAGTACAATCAACGAAAAACTAAGACTGCAGGTGCAAACTCTTCCATGAGAAAAAGAATGTCAAAAATTTGATAAGCCTAATATTGCTACGAGTTTATAAAACATCATCAAATGAAAAATACACGATGATACAAAAAATGTATGAGATACATGAGTACAAGTAAACTCGAGCAGTGTAAGTGATATTTAATCTAGCGTAGGGAATGCGTTTGTATAAATTCAATGTCTGTTAAGAAAATTAAAGAAAAGAAATAAAAAATAAATACGTTACTTTTTACGCACGAGAAAAAGTACATCTTGATCTCTTTTTGATAATCGGTATACATTGCCTAATATACAATCAAAAAAAAACTTGAAACATAAAGTTCTTAAAAGACTCAACTTTACTACAATATCAGCTTTAAAATAAAATTTTTCATAAAACATTTCTACGTTTATACAGATTTCTAGAGTGAAAAGTGAATACTTGAACTTGGAAATATCCTCACCAGAAAATTTTTACAGGAAAAACGTAGCGTAGAAACCAATATTCAATAAAAAAAAAATTAGTACATTGGAGAAACATGAGAAAATATTAAGAGAAGTAAAATACATTTAATCGCACATGCTCCCTACTCGGATTGAGATAATGCAGAAAATGATGAAATTCTTAGTAAGAGAGCAAAAAAGAACATAGAATTGAAGTTACGAGAGATAACGAGGGAGAGTTTGCGTTCGCAAACGTCCGCAAAAGCGGCATTGATTTTAAATACGATATATTACTATAATTACTAAGGTGAGATAGTGAGAGAATGTGAGATAATGTATGTTTGATAAAAGTACGAGAGTAAAAAAGGATACGAGGAGTTAAAATTTAAAAACTGTATAGTAAACTTTATTCATAATGGGAAATTTAACATTATCTGTAATAATATTTACAACGAAATTTACATGCCGTTTCCACTAGCGAGGAACGACCGGAAGTTTAGCGACGAGAGCTAACTATTTTTATTTGCGCACCTTTCTATCTTTGCTCTGCCGTACTCGTTATTGTATATCGCTTTTGAAAATGTTCTTCCACAATTATGGCAACACACGTTGACAGTTGAATTCACTGCAATTTTTTTCGGCGAACCACTAAGCCTCGAAGAGTGTCTTACTGAAGTATCGCAAGATCGCAGTGTTTCTACTAGAGGTTGATTTTTCACAAGTGACAAGTTGTTCCAGTCGGCAGTTTTTTGATCAACAGTTATAATAGTAAACTAAACTATTCTACATTAATCTATAACCTATAATAAACTGTGAAACAAATGTACAGCTGTTCGTTTTATTCTTATCCTTTCAATTTTCTTCCAATCCTGTGATGAAAAAATTGATTGCTAAATTTTGAATTTATTTTTATTTTTAGTATATTTTTCGAAGCAATTACTTGACAGAGTTAAGTCTTCCATATTTAAAACGAAAAGTAGAATTTCTTCAAATTTTAGCTATACTTTTTATGTTAATGAAAAAGGTTGGTGATTTCTTTCTAACTTTGTTTGATAAAAAATGATTGAGAATTAACAATTTTTATAATTTACATTTCTTATGAAAAAATCTGATACATCTGATATATCTGATAACGTGACGCCATAATTATAGTACCTCTTCGATTGTGACGTAACGCTCGTGGTTTCAAATGCCATATCTCAGTTAATAATTTATTAAGGGGTTACATACATTTGTGTGATGGAAATTTTTTTTTGTTGAAAAATTATATTTCAAAAACTAAAAATCTAATCTATTCGAAATTTTTACACGCTTATCCATTAAATGATCTGTAAAAAAAATTTCAGACAAAAATATTGAAAATTGTTGATTTTCCATCAGTTTTCCTCTGTCATCCTGTTGTCATGCGTTAGACAGGATATTTCTTGACAGGATCATTGTAAACCAAAAATTCGACTTATTTCTCAAAGTTTATATACTTGGCTAGGAATTGAATGAAAAAAAAGTAAAAATAAATAAAAACTGATAATTTGGCACGAGTTCGAATGATTTTTTTGCCTATATTGAGAAAAAATACGCACATATTCGGTAAGAAATGGACAAAAAATCATTCAAACTCGTTCCAAATAATCAATTTTTATTTATTTTTACTTTTCCTTCGTTAAATCACTAGCCAAAAGTATAAGCTTTGAGAAATAAGTCGAATTTTTGGTTTCAGATGATCCTATCAAGAAATATCCTGCCTAGTGCAGGACAACAGGATGACAGAGGAGAACTGATGGGAAATCAACAATTTTCAATATTTTTGTCTAAAATTTATTTTAGCTCCTTTAATGGATAACCGCATAAAAATTTCGAATAGATTAAATTTTTAATTTTTGAAATATAATTTTTCAACAAAAAAAAATTTTTTTATCACACAAAGTTATGTAACCTCTTCATGGAAAAATAAACAACAGGTGTCTAATGATTTTCAGAAATCTACACAGTGGACCTAATGAATTTTCTTGAAGAAATTTCTTGATTTTTGGTATATGCGTATTGAAACAGTATATTTTTCTTTATTTGATCTCTAACTTCTTAATTTTCAGAAGAAGCAGTGATAATAATTTTTAGTACATGAAAAAATTATAAAATTGTCCTTTATAAAGATAGTTTTATTTGAATACAATATTAATATATTTTCAAAAATTTATATTCTATTTGATATAATAATTATACTAATTTCTGGAAATATGAAGTCATTTAAATGTAGACTTCTTTAATAACATAAAATTAAAGCAAATTAACTCAAGTAGTGAGTTTCAATAAAATTTTAGATGCACTTTACAAAAAGAAAGTTTTAACTTACAGCAGTCTCAATAGTATTTATTAACAAATTTAGTTCAGTTTTGTTGAGCTCTAATTCTAATACTTTATGATTACGATTTTCTTGAAAACTCAAGTCAAGTTGTAGAAGTGGTTCTTTTACAGATATCATTTTACTTGACCCCATAATATACTACAAATAAGTTTAGAAATGATTAATGATTTTTATTTATGCATATTTTAAAACCATAAAAGTGTACCTTCAACCTCCAATCATAATTGTCTAATGTAGAAAAATGTTTACTTGAATATTTTTGTAGTAAAGAATCAGTTATTTGATTTCTGTGAAGTCTTAAGCTTTTTAATAAAACCACTTTTACATGCTTTGACATTAACTGGTATTGTAAAGGCATCTGTAAAAGACAAAAATATTAATCTGTGATGATGATTTAAAATGATGATTTTCTTTTGTTATTTTCCATTTGAAACTTACTTTTTTTTCGTCATCAATAAACAAACAAGCTGGATTGTAAAAAAGTGTAATAAAAAATGTATGAACTTTTTTGAATTCTTCCTTGGACCAACCTATCTGTTTGAATTGTTTATATGTTGGACCTGCTAAGTTGCACACTTCATCCATGCAACTATGAACAAACTAAGAAACGTAGAATTTTGGAGATGTTTATAATATAATTGTTAGTTTAATAAAGTGTAAAACAAACTTTCAATAATTCAACTTGATTATTTTCAGCAAAAAGAATGCAGTTCTCGATTTCTTTGAACTCCATTTTAAAAACAGAGCACAGCAATGTCTGCAATACTATAGTATAAAAATTCTACCAAAAATTACGATAAAAACTAGCGGCTTATGACACTCTCAAGTCAAATTCTACATTAAGCATTGTATCTATTGAAAAATACTTTTTTTAATTTTCTTTTAATCTATGTATCGTACCGTAATCGCAATTACGTATAGGTTATAGTTTTCTGAGGGTGCCCTCACAATATTTTTTTCTGCATTAGTATTTAAAGACATATTCTTCAAGAAAATAACTTCTGGAAAATTTCTATTTAAGATAGTTACAAATTTATCCTCACAGAACTCTCAAACATTAAAATGAAAATTATTTCTGAATGTACGAAATCAAGAAAGTGTGTAGTAACCTTACATTCCCACACAACAACCCAAAAATAATTCATACTTAAAGATTCACACAAGTTAATGAAAGCTCTAATTTTTATAAAATTTTAAGTGATTGAATGTAAAGTGCATCGTTATTGCATATTAAAAAACATAATTGATAAAGCATTTATTAATGAACAATAGATTCTGAAATTTTTCGAATTGTCTGTACTACCGATACATGTGGACCGATACAGGTAGAGAGGCAAAACGACTCAAGTCCATTTTTATGAAAATCGATATTATGATGAAAAAAAACCATATTTAGTGTCTATGTTAAGTTACAAGAGTCAGAATAGACGAGTATAGCGTATATCGTTAATTAGAGCATCGTGCATAACGACTTGAGGCAATTTCGTGAAAATCGGGGAAAGACAAAATGACTTGAGTCCACCTTTGAGATCTGCCTAGAGTCTACTTTGATTTGAAATTGAAAGAAAATGATATTCGAACATATAAATGGCTTCTGCACTGCATTTGACTAATATAATGTTAAATGAACTATTTATCAATGAAAAATCATTAAACGAGGTAATGATCACGAACTGAGCGAAATTATCGATATTGAAAAAAGTGTGACCGCCAAAAGTGGACTTGAATGCAAACCGTAGGCAGGCAAACCGACCTAAGTCCATATTTTTTGCTCCGTATCATCGCTATGATGATCCTTTCAATTTGATAAGTAGATAGGCCAAAAGATACCTCACAGTAGCTTAAAAAATCATAGTTTCAGATCTCAACTCGTGCGCATCTAGTTAGTCACTCACAAGTAACTTAAAACGCGTTTTTCCGGAAAACACCAAAAGTGAACTCAAGTCATTTTGCCTTTACACCATAGATGTAAATTAAATGTTTCGCGATCCCGTCAAAATCTTAATTTTTGCATTATTTCAAAAGATTGTATGTATAAAATGAATTTCAAGCACACATCACATACCCATAAACAAAAACAGAATTGTATCTACTCACAAAGTATGTATTCTGAAAAATCTAGGCCGATTGATTGAAAACATTTAAATTAATAGTGTGATAGCGAAACACTTGAAAATCAAGGAAATCAATCGTGCTCGCTGTCTCTCGTTGAACTCAGTTTAAGGATATAAACTACACTTGACCGTACTTACCGAAACATACAAATCCAGACTTCTGTAGCGCTATATTTTCTATGCACTTTCTAAATGTTTAATTAACAATGAAAAATAGCTAAGAACAAAATATGATTGAAACAATTATTTGAATAAAATCAAAACTTCCACGTACATTATAGTATATCTGTATATTATAAGAAACAATAATAATATGCTTTTAAAATGATCGATTGAAGATCATCTCCTCTTTTTAATTAAAACAAAGGAATGAATGTTTTTTCAAATGATTTATTTTTTCAAAGAGGAAGGCACTCGGCACTCACTACTGAATAGGCAACGGTGTTTTATATTTTCAACACTAACAAGAAATTTCTCGATAAAACAAATTGCTCAACAATAATATTTTTAATGAGTATTTAAGTTGTGAGCTTAATTAAAGTTGTTTTAAAAATTAATAAAAAGTATCATTCATGAACTATTTGGAAGATGAAGCTACTTTGTATAAAATATTTTCCAAACTACGATTTCTAAATAATAATTTTTTATATTTGCTATTAAATTTGCCAATTTGACATTCAAGGTCTTCGATTTTATCTTTTAATAATTTATAGATTTCCACGAAATCAGTTTGTGTACATTGATTTTTCATTTTCATGTCGCGATTCTCATAGGTTGAATCAATACGTTCATTCTGATTATCATAATTAACTTGTACTTCACAAACTACGTGCTCTGTTTCTGCCGATATAACTTGATTTTTCATATTTTTATCAATACACTCATCTAAAAAAAGAAAAGATAACTTTTAAATGATTTTTATATTTATAATTTATTTTCACGTGAATAATAATAAATTAATAAAACCACCTTGGCGATTGTAACCGGGTGTACTGGAATTATCATCTTTATCATTTGCCTCAAAATAATTACCATTAAATAATTTCATTCTAGTCCCTGAAGCATAAGGGCCCTTAAATTTGATAGGCGGCGGTTCAGTGAGGAAAAGCGAAGGTACGGCTAAAAATGATGGCGGTAAACTTAGTGATTAAAAGTGTTTTTAAAAGCCAGAAGTTGAAGTAGAAATTTTGCAAACCTGTGGGTTTTAATCTTTTTTTTCCAACAGAAGGGCTATTCAAGAGCTCAGATTGAACGGAGGGCTTGTAATCGTCGTCGGTAAAATGAATAGAGCATACATGACACGAGTTTGGATTCCATCTACCAGCTCTCCTGCATTTTTGAATCCAAATATTCTTGAGGGGTTGTTTTTTGGGAAAAGTGTGATACCTTATATTCATGCCCGCTTTTTTTGTCTTTTCGTAACTGTTGTTGCAGACGGCTACTGTACATCTCAATCCGGGCATCGTCGCAAGAGCTTGTATGCTACAGCACGTTGTGAAAATGTCGCGCGCGAGGACAGGGCGAAGGGATATAAGAAAACCAGTAAAAGATGCAGTGTCGCGAGCGAGTCACAGAGCAAAAGTTTTGAGAAATTTCGCCAAGAAACTCGAGGCGATTTCGATAAACTTGGAGACGCGAGCGAGCGCCGAGTGTCGCACGCCGAGATAAGCCAGCAGCCGCTGCCGCCAACTCGAGACAGCGCAAAGCTCTCGGCTTTCGATAAGTGCCTGTACAAAGATAGACTTACGCCATCATTATATTTCGTGATTACAAAACCATGACAAGCGGGCAGCAGTGGCCAACAGAGACGAGATCTCTTTACTCTCTGACTCGTTGCGGAGATGCGGGCACTGCTGCCGACTGCGCGCGTGAATCGTGAAATGTGAATCTGCACTGCACGCGAACCATGCGTTGAAATTTGAATCTTGTAGGATGGTGTCGCCACCTGTTCTCGCTTGAGCACAACTTGCACGACTCTCTACAGCTCTGCACTTTATACGACACGTCCGAAAGTGCATCAGCGCAATTTTTCGAACTTTCTTTTGCCGAGCTTGTGTGAGCGTCTCGTATTAAACCGAGAGTAATGGGTACATTTTTCGATTCGATTGCTTTCGCCTTGGTAGAAAAAAAAACTAGCGAATGGACGAAAATCGTGCTCGCTAGATATTTATCGGTCTCGCTTGGAACGATTATTATCGATCCGAATGGCCGTTGATAAGAAGCATATAGTCCGCACAGAATATTACCAAGCATCGAAATTAACGCCTCGCAATAATCGCTGCTTCTTTCTTTGCGTATCAAGTGCGATAGGGCAATAAAGAATTGCGAGCAAACCATCGCTGCAGCAATGGTCGTATTTTTCCAAAATCATGCATATTATAATTAGAGTATGCTATTGATCGGGGTTTATGTTTCGAATGACGATCGATAATGATGCTTTTGCTCAAGAGAATAAAAGGTGTAAAAAGTAAAGGGTCATACATGTCGGAGCAAAGGCTACTTATAAATGCGCAGAAAGTAGACAAATCGCACAAGATGCGTCGGAAGGACTTCGGCAAGGTATGCCAAGAAGCCACAAGGAACGTTACAAATGATGCGAGTTGCCGAAAATTCGAGGCAAGCGGGCCAAGCAGATTTATATAGGAAATCGTGGGTCGCGTCGAAGCAAGAACTGGCCTCTTACTCTGTTATACACGGTTTTTGCCTTTTGTCCCTTTCTTATTTGTCGCAGGAGGGGAAGGCGAGCAGGCGCAACATGTCTCGTTGCTGTTCGTCGTCGTGGTCCACGCGGTCGGTACGTTCACGTGCCCACCCTATACGCTGTGCATCATGCATGTGGTGGCATTAAGGTAGTAGTCGTCGCATACATATAGAGGCGGCTGCGCTCGACGCGCCTACGCGAAGGAGCATCGCCTGGAGGGGGCTGGGGAGAGAGCTTGGCCTTGAAAATGAGGTGGCCCGCTGCTTACGAGCGCGGCACACGCGCGAAACGGTCGCGCGCCGCCTATCTTCTTTTCTCGCATTCTCGACGCGCTCTTCTCGCGATATCGTGGCGAGTGCGCGTGCGGGTACGAATTTCGGTAGGTAAAAGCGGCTGCAGCGCCGCCGAGTGCCGACGTCGAGCAGGCCAACTACGCGGAGCCGCAGGCAGCTAGTCAGTGCAGGCAGAGCTGTGTCCAGAGCAGAGTGCGGACACGCGCGAGCTGCGGCGGCGTCGCTGGCTCTACTACATTCGCTTTCTGCACGAGTGTCTGCGTGCGTTGTATCGCTGCTGCCAGCGAGAGAGGCGTACGGACGTATCGATACCGCAGTCGATCCGAAAGGCGCCCCCGTCGTCGTCCAAAGCACACCACTGTGCTCGCCTCGCAGCACGTTACTCCGACCCAGTACGTGAGTTCGCCGTGTCAAAGATCAATAAATATATTATCTTACCTGCTGCTCGTTCGAATCCTCGCTTGTTCTTTGCTCCGAGCAGGAAAAGCCTGCGAAGCCGCTCATCTGCTGCTGCCACTGCTGCTCGATCGTCCCGCCGAGGTCAGCCTAATGCGCTGCGTTCTGTAATTGCTCCGAATCGCTGCGATACATTTTTCAGGCACAGGACGACCGAGAAATCAACCTGGCGACCATGCACTCTTTCGACTCGATGATGTAAACTCTCGCAGCTCGCTCGCCGTCGATCAATCAAGTCAGTAATCGATACTTATTTCTCGAACTTGATCTGGCCACATGTATCCGAGAGCAAGCTCAGCATTTTCATTTCGATGCTTCTCTTACTCATTGCGAACGAACAAATTTACTTTTTCTTAATCCTACTTTCGAGTGCTAAACATTGTCTTCGCATACATTCTTTTTCACAAGGTCAATCGACACAATATTTTTATGTCTCGGACTGTTTCATTATTAAACTTTTTAGCTTTAGCTATGGATCCAAAGATCACATTATTATGAAACATATTAAAACTTTTTATTATGCTTGTGATATATCAAATTTTATCGATTAATACAAATTGATTACGTAGTTGTACATTTTTTGAAAATTTTATTTTTTGAAATGATTGAAAATCGATGTTAGTGAAAACAAAAATCAAATACAATATTCAACCTTTAAGCAAATTGTTATTGACATTCATTCTGTGACAATTTCAATGCCGTCTGAAAATTTGGATAAAATATACTTGATATAAATGAATTAATAACGTTTACCCATTAACTGGTATTGTACTTTATGAGTTTGAAAATTTTTAAAAATTATTCAAGTTTGAATTTTTACTTGTTAGGATGTGTGTATTTACAGCTGACTTTAATTGATACCCGGACTATATACCGAGAGAATATTTAGTAGTGACGTGCGTACCGAGCGCAAACGCTTTAAATGCCTGGCATATTCTACAATGACATGCTCTTACCACTTGCTTGTTTGATCAATCTTTTATATGAACATTAAATAGCGTTATGAATTAAGCATTCTGAAATTATATTTACTTTGCAAAATGCACTTTGAAATAATATTTATTTCAATAAATTTATTCGACGAAAAACTGTAATATCATCATTTTTTCAGATGCACGACAAAAAACAAGGATAATAATTCAGCTACTTGGCACTGAGTATCGAGAGTTTTTCGTTCGTTCAAAGTTCAAGTTCATTGGACATTAAAAAAGGCCACCATGACGATGGGAAAGTGTTTTCGAATTTACGAAAAGCTAAAGCCTCCGAGCCCGCATTCCATTATTATGGAACATCGGAATTGCAATCAAACCCTTCTCTTCGAATCTCAAGTTGTGGCTGTTTTAAGGGAGCACGAAACAGAGTCATTGAAATCTCAGTACGTAAAATTATTGGATGCCTATGGATGTCTCGGAGTTCTTCAGTTCAATTATGGAGACAGTTCATTTTTGTACTTGGTCATGGTGACGGGCTGTTTTTCCGTGGGAAAAATCTACGACTCGGAAATATTTCGGATAACTCAGACTCATTTCATCGCGCTGCATTACAGCCAATCGAATAACGAGGACCGAATATCCGAAATAAAAAAGGTACTGAATTCGGGTACATTTTACTTCTCCTGGTCGGCGGGGACGCAGCACGTGCTCGACCTGACTCTGAGCGTCCAACAGAGGTACTCGCTCAATACGACGGACAACCGGTTCTTCTGGAACCGCATGCTGCACATACACCTGCAAAGATTCGGCGTGGACACGGACAACTGGCTGCTCAAAGCCATTTGCGGCAGCATCGAGATCAGGACGGTTTACGTGGGTCACCGTCAGGCTCGCGCCGTAATCGTCTCGCGACTGAGCTGCGAGAGAGCCGGCACGAGATTCAACGTGCGAGGCAGCAACGACGACGGCCACGTGGCCAACTTCGTGGAAACCGAGCAGATTATTTATCTCGACAACGAGGTGTCGTCTTTCATACAGACCCGAGGCTCCGTTCCGCTGTTTTGGGAGCAGCCCGGCGTCCAGGTAGGATCTCACAAAATCAAAATTTCCCGTGGTTTCGAAGCTTCCTCGCCGGCTTTCAATCGCCACTTCAACCTGGTGAAAAAGCGCTACGGCCAGCAGGTCATCGTGAATCTTTTGGGCACGAGCCTGATCGGCAGCAAGGAAGGCGAAGCTCTGCTCAGCCAACTCTATCAAAGCCATCAAGCGAGTTCCCGTCACCATGACATTCCGCACATTATTTTCGACTACCATCAGGAGTGCCGCGGGGGCAACACCAAGAGCCTGCAGAAACTCAAGGAAAAAATCGAGAGCTACTTGCAAGATTATTCCTTCTTCCATGCGGTGGGGGACGAAATTATGCAGTCGCAAGTGGGCACGGTTCGCACCAACTGTCTCGACTGCCTCGACAGAACCAACTGCGTTCAAACGTTCATCGCGCTCGAGATGCTTCGGGAGCAGTTGGCCGTATTCAAAGTAATCGATAAGCAGCAAGTTGTCTCGAGATTCGACGAGGTTTTCCGTCAAATGTGGGTCAACAATGGGAACGAGATAAGCAAAATTTACGCAGGCACAGGAGCTATCCAGGGTAGTTCCAAGTTGATGGACGGCGCCCGATCGGCCGCCAGAACCATTCAAAACAACCTTCTGGATTCGAATAAACAAGAGGCCATGGACGTGCTGCTGTTCGGCTCGCCGCTCAACACGGAGCTAGCCGACCGAGCTCGGACGCTCCTGTCTTCGAACATGCTGCACGCCCCGTCCAACGTACTGAGGGAAATGTGCAAACGTTACAAGGAATTCGTCGATAGGAAACCGCTGCGCGTGGCCTGCGCCACGTACAACGTCAACGGGGGAAAACATTTCCGTAGCGTCGTCTACAAAGACGTTTCGCTGACCGACTGGTTGCTGGACGCTCCGAAATCCTCAGCGAGCTTGGAAGAGCAAATAAATGGCTCGGACCCGGTGGACGTGTTTGCCGTGGGCTTCGAAGAAATCGTCGACCTCAACGCCTCCAACATAATGGCGGCCAGCAGCGAGAACGCAAAGGCCTGGGCAGAGGAGCTGCAAAAGGTTTTGTCCCGGGACAACGAGTACGTACTGGTGACGTACCACCAGCTCGTCGGCGTCTGCCTCTACGTGTTCATCAAGTCGACCCTGGTCGATAATCTCAGAGACGTCGCCGTGGACAGCGTGAAAACTGGCCTGGGGGGCGCGACCGGCAACAAAGGCGCCGTAGCGATTCGCTTCGTTTTAAATTCCACCTCCTTCTGCTTCGTGTGCGCTCATTTCGCGGCTGGCCAGTCGCAAGTGCACGAGCGCAACGCGGACTACGCCGAGATCACGAGGAAGATCGTCTTCCCCATGGGCAGGACCCTCAACGCTCACGATTACGTGTTCTGGTGCGGAGACTTCAATTACCGCGTGGACATGGACAAGGACGAAATGAAAGAGATGATAAAGCGCAACGAACTCGATGAAATATTAAAATTCGACCAGCTCAAGGTGCAGCAGGATCAAGGCAATGTCTTTAAAAATTATTCAGAGGGACCTATCAATTTTGCCCCCACCTACAAGTACGATTTGTTCTCCGATGATTACGACACGAGCGAGAAGTGCCGTCAGCCGGCTTGGACCGATCGAGTGCTCTGGAAGAGGCGAAAACTTCACGACGTCGAGATCGACCACGACTGGAATCCAGGCAACATAGTGTTTTACGGCAGGGCCGAGCTGAAGCAGAGCGACCACAGGCCGGTCATCGCCATTATCGACGTGGATTATTGCTGCATCAACGAGGACAGGCGGAACAAAGTTTTTCGCGAAGTCGTCGGAGATCTGGGCCCTCCTGACGGCACGATTATTCTCCATCCCGAAGATTCTTCCGACGACGTCGACAACATATACGACGACAATTTCATGACTACTCTGGTGCAAGATCTCTCGGAATTGGGAGAAGTACTGCTGGTGAGATTCGTGGACGACAGAGTTTGTATCACGTTCAGAAATGGCCAGAGTGCCATGTCAGCCGCGCAAAAAGGTACCATTAATATTTACGGCCAGAGCTTGGCGATAACTCTGAAAACGCCTGATTGGGTGAGCTGCGTGGAGAAGGAGATCCAGGCCCTCGGGGACAGCAGAAGCGGCGCGTCGTGTCCAGTGCGACGCGTCGAGGCGATTCCGAGCCACCCGACGAGGCCGCCGCCACCTCCGAGGCCAACCCCCCCGGCGCGACCTCCACAGCCGATGACGCCCAAGAGGGAAGTGGTCGCCACTTATAACACGTCGGCCGACGACAATTCGTCCGAGACGGACTTTGCTATCTACGAGGAAATTCCGGAAACTCCCGTGAGAACTAATGCGCCCAGGCCACCGAGCGCCGTGCCACCGCCTTTGCCGCCGAGGCAAGGACCTCTTCCCCCTCCTCGCAATCCTCCTCCACCGCCTCCACCAAATGCTCAGTAGGACATTGTGTAAATGACCAAATGCCGATGAAAAGTTTGTACTTTTTATTTACAGCACCTTATCGACACCTTATTACGACTCGCATTCAAAATGTTTTCTCTTATGTCTTGAGACGATTGTAATTGTTGTCTGAACAATTATTGTTCTATGTAAACTTGTATCATGCCAGTATCGATAATATTAACAGTTTTAAACTTTATTTATATTAAATGTGTCACGTATATAATTAGCAGAGTCGCTGATGTAACTATATGCTGCTTCATACGACACGTGAAAAGAACTTTATTTACTATGACTACTATTGTTAACGCTGAAACTATACAATTCAACTGAATTAGAATATGCATAAAGTACTTTTTGACTGTTGTGTTTGAAAAATTGATAAGTTTATAATTAAGAAATAAGTGATGGCATTTATTTACAATTTAACATCACACTTATTCTTTCACGAACAATGAATAATTGATGTAGCTATAAGTTGTTACTTCATCTATCTGTACTTATCATTATTATTTTCTCTGTAGTAAAAAGTGTGGACGAAAGCATTTATTGCGTCGAATCTCAATTCTTCACATTGAAAATTTCAAAAATAACACGTACTCCAAAGTAAATAATGCTATGCTTAATCTTCTAGGGAAAAATGAGTATTTGAGCGTACTGCAAACTCATAAGTATTAATTGTGTACATAAAACAGACTCTATTTTTTTAAATAAAAACACATGTACATCTGCAGAGATTAATCGTGCACATACTACGTATATTCGCGTTGAGAATTTTTTAATTTCTATAGATGTTGAATCTTATAGTAAGATCGAAATTTATTCATTCAAAATTTAATATGTACTGGTTTCTTACATTTTATTTTAAAGAAAACATAGGATCGTTTATAAAAAATTTATCATGCGAAGAAATGCTAGTTGACTGAAGGTTCAAGCAGGCTTTATTGAGGTTTATTTTTGATATCTACTAAGTATGAACTGTTACTTCTGATACGAATTTACTTTAATTATTATCATTAGAAAATTTATAAAAAATAATTTTTAGTAATTAAAATATTTTTAATATCAAGTCATGATGAAACATTCTACAAAATGTTATGTTTAAAAACAATATATAAATAAAATAACAGTAGGTGTAAATAAGAAATTATAATTTATAAAAATTGGACTTATTAACATAGTGTAAATATTTATTTTATGAAATTTAAGAGAGCCTAAATAAAATGAATTGTTCCAATACATGCAAAATGGAAACCGATTATTATAGTCCTCTTGAAAACTTAATGGTAACTAACTTTGTTGTCAACAAAATGTACGAAAAAATATGTCTGTATCTCAATGAAGTTTTAACATTTTGGAATTCAGAAAAAGATTTGCAATGAAGAAAATTTCTCAGAGAACATTTACGGAAATCATTTTTTTAATCGTATTTGCAAAAGTTGTGGTTCAAAGAACTTTTAAAATTAAGGTACAAGATAACTAAAGATTCGAATTGCTATAAATTTATGCAAAGATTCAACTTTATTTATATTGAGAGTATATTCAGTCCACATAATGATTGTTGTTTACAAAATAGCTATATGATAGTTAATTTTTATAGATCAAGTATTTTTCGAAAAATATAACTGAATTATTATACTTAAATCGATAGCTTGGCTTATGTTTTTGATTTCAGTTTTGAGTAACAAAAAAATTTGGATCTTGGGTTACTGCAGGTAAATCGGTTATGGTTTTTTTATCGATTTCAATATATGAACTGTAAATATTGTTTTTTTTGCAATGTTAACAGAAATATGTACTGAATTGTTAGAAGTTTTTGAATTCTATTTTTATTTACGGTTATATTTGTTACTTGCAAACTTTGAAGCAATTTTAAGAATTTTGGAAAACTAAAGGATTTTTATTAAAATAAGTCCATGCACGGAACTTGGCATTGTAAAAATTATGGCTTCCAAAGCCGTCTTTTATTTATAAGTATAAATTTATTCCACTAAACTATTGCTATATTATTTCAAATAAACTATTTTTGAACATGAAATGGTCATTTTATCCTTTTAACTAGATCTGAAATTATGTATAACATATCACATTTAGAACATGGCGAATGAAAATCATGTTAAATAAAAAATTAATTATCGAGAATAATAATTTTCATTTATTTGCAACGGTAATAAGTGTTATATATTTTCTGCTAAAGCATATTTATGAATAAAAATACATGTTAAAATAATACAATACACAGTTAATCTATTTAATCATTTTCATGTCATTAGACATATTACTTCCATATAATTCAACACCAAAAGATAATTAACGTAATATCAAAAGAAATATAAACGAAAGAAATTTTTCTTGCTATTCAATTGTTCAATGATGGCAAAATTGCTTTACAAAGTCGTAAGAGTCATGTCTTTCTCTCTTGGTATTTAAATTAAATCTATTATTGTAAAAAATTTCTCTTAAAACTAATAATTCTTAATATATCTTAAATAAAGTTACAAAATGCTTCGAATAAAATTTCAAGTATCCAAGAGTATTAAATAAAAAGCTAAACTCAAAATTTTATACGATTATCATCATATTCACTCATTCAGTAGTTCATTTTAATTCTACATTTAATTTGATTTGTTTCATAATGTAAGTAACATTCATTGCTATACAGTATTATAAGTATGGTATTGCGTCAGTATTATGGTATACATATGATTAATTTTTATGCTATCATTTGCGATCCTACTTTAATAATGTAAGTATTTAAAACCATCGTCAAATCTAGCTTCTAAATTTCCTATTGTTTTTTGAATGATTAAAATATCAATAAAAAAATCAACAAATTCGAAGAATTTCTGTAATATTAATGAAATGATCAAGTTTTATTTTAAAAAACTCGAAATTTCATTTTTTACACAACATGATTAGGCAGTTGATTTGAAATAAGACTTTTCCACCATTTAAAAGTCTTCAAAATCAATTTTCTATAGGAAGTTTATTTGCTAGACCTTAGGGGGCTTCAGACTAGGCTTGTAATCAAGAAAATCACCTCATCGTAATTATTCAGATTTTATTTAACAAGTATCGTTTAATTACCGATTTTATTAATTGATTTTCATAATTCATTTAAAAGTCATCTAGTAGAACAATTTTTCAAAGAACATTACCTGCAATATTTTATATAAGGTAACAAAAAGTTACTATGAATAACTTATGAGCTAATGTAACAAATAAAGGAAAGCCAATTACATTTACACAAAGAAATTCTTCTTTGGCCATTTTTCGTTCTTAATAATTTTTTTTCTTTGTTCAGAAGGTTTCACCGATGCAAGTCGGTGCTTAATTCTTCATTAGTCTTATTTAAGATAAATATAAATCATCGAAAAATGTTACTATTTTAATAATACAAAAACTATACTTTCATTAAACTAAACAATTCATTTTAGCTATTATCATCAAACAATTATAATACGTACAGTGATGACATACTAACACGAAAAACGGTAAAAAGTGGCATAAAACAGCATCTTTTTCGCATTGTATTGACATTGACTTCTTTTTAAAAGCAAGTTTATTTTTATGATTTTTTGTTCATAGTTTTTATAATAAAAAAAAACTCAGCTATGTCAAAAACGTTGCCAATGATTATTTAAATAATTCACCGCGAGGCTGGGAACGATGAGTTTACATTGTAGAGAGAATAGCTAATTAAATGGCACCATATCAGCATGAATACGTATAATAAAAGATTGTGGCAGAATTTGGCACGTTATTTTGAGCTATATGCGGGGTATTTTAGCTTCTTTGCGGTGGATAAAAGATTGGCCGCCTGGTTGCGGCTGCTGTTACTTTTTCGATCCCTTCCTTTTTTGCAGGGCATTTACCAGTTGCCGTTACGTACACTCCAAAGTAGCAGTTTGGCATTGTACACTTGCCATTATGTATACATCTGTAAAGAATACAAAAAAAAAATAAAATGATAAACGATAAACAAAAAATTATCAAATATCCGATGGTTCGTGATGAGGTCTATAATTTTTATTCTAGTTCAAAACTACGATCTGAAAAATACAACTTACAGTCTGTCTGAATTTGAAAAAAATGTTTTTCCTTTAAGTAATTTTAAACATTCTGATTCGTGGCTAGGATTCTTCGAGTCACAGTTACATTCACACCTATCGTCGATGAGCTTCGATACAAAATATGTAGGACACGCGCATCTAAGAAGAAAATCAGTTATCAATATGAAATGATAATTACGTCATCAATAAAGTCAATTTTTTGATTATTTATTTACTGTTTATCCTGTGCCTCTTTTACAGTGTGTTGTGGTGACGATGTTGAAGGGTAGTACGAAAAAGTTTGTAAAGTAGTATCTACTCCTAGCCTACTCCTGGCATCTTTTCTGTCCCGACATTCGCACTCTGTATGGTTGGTGAAGGTGAGCTTTTTTATTGCTGTTGAACCATCGATGTACGAAGCCTAAAAAAAATATGGTCAATAATTAAAATGCGTCGAAATTATTCAGTAGTCAATTGTATTCGGAAACCCCAACAGCGCCATTGCATTTGGCATAACAGTTTTTGCAGTGAATATGCAATATGTGAAAACTTCATACTTGGAGTAAGAGAGTACTTTTGAATTTTCAAAAAATCAATTTTTTTTTATGTTAAAATTATTTATTCCTTCGATAATGAGCTCCTTTCTCAAATTTCTTTTGAAAAGTTGAAGCTTTCCGTTTAGAGTGCTATAAAGGAGTCGACAGAATGTTTTAATTAAACAATGGCATTCAGTAAAATCATAATAATTAATCTTCAAGGACTAGTGCAGTAATCATGCACAAACAATATTCATGAATGATATTCATCAACCTAAAAATCGGATTGATTTAAAAAGTAAATTTATGCAGAAATCATATATTTAATTTACATGTTTGATTAAGAAAGTTTGAGATAACAGCTATCGTGTAAAGCGTAAATAAATCTTGGGACTACGAATACCGGTAATGTCGGTTCGAAAGAGTCACAGATATCATTGGTCGAAAAATCAGTTGCTTTAAAGCGAGATTCACGAATGAAACTCGGTAGTTAGAGGCGCGGCTGACGTGCTCTTGGATCTTCTTCGATTCCAGTTCGGATGGTTGATTTAATTTGTTATTTATAAACGTCATTCGTATAATCGCACGTGTAGCGCACACGTAGCGTTTCTCAAGGAAATTCTCATGGGAAAGAATCGTGCAGTCCCCAATTGCGTTTCTTTCCCTCTCTCTCTTTCTCTCTCTCTCTCTCGTGTTTGCACATGCGCTCTCAAGTTCAAGAGCTGAGTGCAAGAAGGAAAAAAAAGAAAGCGAAACGTAAAAGTTATTAGCATGGTATGGCAGTGTGGCTTTATATGATATACGCGCGTTTGTCGCCCGAGGCTGCATCCCATTCACGAATCGAGCGGACAACGCGCACAAAACACACCCACGTGCGGCGGCGAGCAGGAGGCAGAACCGCATTTGAATCTCGGGATCGAGCTCAACTCGCGAGATCGCGTCGAGAATTGCGAACGAGAGCGACAATATTAAGTCTGCGCCGCACGTTCACGACCGAGCAAGATCCTCGGGGTGTGAGTATATATTTTTGACTGTCGAGAGTTTTTATGGAAGACGCTCTTGCTCGAGATGAATTTCGAAGATGCATCGCGTGCAACTGAACTCGAGCCGCCTCGGGAGCAAACGCGCCGATTTCCAGGTACCTTCCAAAGTAAAAAATGGATTTTAATCATCGACTCGTATCATTACGAAGTTGCCGAGCGTGTACTCGGTGCGACTTGCATCGATTTCTACGGTACGCAGTTTGAATCGAGCAGCTCTTCAACGAGAGATTTCAGTATTTTGCAGTTTTGGATTTAAATATTAGCGCAAAGGCTCGGGCTTCGATGTAACGGAGCTCGAAAAACTTGGCCGTGACGAGACTCGTAGGCAAGATATGGGCATCGGAGCCGTGAATCCACGTACCAACATGCGCGCCGTTAAATTATCATAATACGACGATCATCGTATTTCACACGGTGCATCGACGAGCCACAGAGAGAATAGCCCGAGTCTGCACGTTCGAGTGAACTTACACGACAAGAAATGTTTTATACAAATATGCACATGTGCATTACACGAGCTGTATTAATGCTTGGATACTCGAGAGCTTTGCAGGTAAAAGAGCGAGCGAGCATCAAGCGTTGGACTAGTACTTACATGAGTTGAATTCCTTGACTCACACACACACACATTTTTCACGTTTTCGCAAAACTATATCAAGTAGAGTACTGGAAGCTTAGCCGTGCAGCTAGAATAGTAGATCGCAAGGGATAGTCGTAAAGAAAACGAGCCAGGCCGAGCTAGTGCAGCCAAATAGTAGCGGTCACATTAGCGATCAGTCGAGCGATTGCACGTCAGTCTATATTTGAAAGTCATTAAGTTTTAATCAAAGTTAGATAGGCAGACACGCAGTCTGGAATTTTGCTTCTGCGATAAAGCAATTGCATGAGATCGCGCGTAATCTGTGGCATGTATATATCTGTGTTTATACGCTGTGCGTTGCGCGCAGTAGAGTTGGCTGTTCGATTGACGCAGATCAACGGCATGTCTACACGTTACGATAGGTACGCTCTCGGAGGTGCAGCAGTATACTAAGTAGCAGCAGCAGCTCTTTGCGCGGGAGCAGACATTTATCTCGTGATATATTTGTATATGTGCGTCTATATATATAAATGAAAATACACGATCTCGTCGATTGGATTGCTCCTGCGATAGTCTCAGGCCTCAACCGCTGCCGGGGCTGACTTTTCTCGCGCAACGTTTGATCGTAATTAATCTTCTTAATCGGTCGTAGCTACAATGCGTATAATGCGTCGTAGTCGCTGAGCTCGCACGGACACGCGCTAGTCTGACTATATGGCATTTAGCGCGCGCATAAAGAGAGTCGTAACGAGGGGGTGTCGCGATCAACGATCGCACACTCGCACGACACGCATCGATTCGCCATAGTCGACGTCTTTACTCCCGAGTGCATTTCATTATTTATGGCGTTTGTTGGTCTCGTGCTTTAAGGACAAGCGCGCAAGTATAGAGAGTGTGTAATTTTGTCGCAGTCTAACTACGTGCGCGTGCCAAGTCATGCATTGATCGGCTCGATGATGCGATTCACGCATACTTGCATTATGCGCGTGTCTCGCGGTCGCGGGTGCTTTATATGCATCGAGTTCTCGAATCTCGCTGCAGCTTTCTCAGGCGTCGACGCAAGATTTATCGGCTCGACTCAAACTATGTTGGATGTATGTTGAATTGATTATTACCCCACGCATTTCGATCGCTGCAAATACCTTTCAACTCGTGCCTTCACTGCGTCGAGTTTGTCGTTCAAGTCCCATTTGCGAGTAAATTTCAATTTTCCATCGAGGATCGCTCCTTTCATTTATTTTACTCATTAGTAAAGATTTGGAGGCTAAAAATAACAGTTGCACGCGACAATTATCGTAGGCATTTTTATTTGGATCGAAGGTGCCAGTGTTCATTCATCTTTGAGCCTACCAACGTTTTTATAGCAATGTAGTATCGCCGTTGCATGATAAAACGTCGCTCTGAAACGTTCGTATCGCATTACCATAGAAATTCTTCGGCTTACTATGTAGATACAGCATTTAATCGATTCGAAATTCCTTGAGTTTTCTTGCTGGTTCGCCATACAAATGAATAAAATGATTTAAATCAATATTATCCAAAATTGACTCGATCTAATCGACATATAAACAGCAAAACCAGATTAAGTTTTCCGAGTTCCGAGCCCAACTGCAACTTTGCAGCGCTAGAACGTGGGTACAAGCATTTCTTTGTCCTTACTATGTCGACGGACACTCGAATTCATCATCGCCAAAATGTACACTTGTTGACGCAGGACGTTCGGTATGTTTGCATATACTGCATGCGGCGATTATTTTCGTCTCCAAGTCGCGCTTCTCACTTTTTGAACATTCGTGCATTTGGATGTAACTATTTGACTTGAGCGTAAAGTGCATATTATAGGGGAGCATATCACGCGTGCCGGCTGCAACGGCAGACGCTCCGGCAGGATGCGTACAGTCGTAAACCTCGAGAGCTCAGGCCAAACGTATACACATTTATTTATAGTATATAGTATATTATAATGTCGGAGTGTGCGAGGATAGTCTGGCCGCTGCGTTTGCGCGTCGCGTGATTTAATCTGCGCTTTCTTATCTAACAGGGAGGCTCTTTGAAATTTCAGATGTAATACCAGATGATGACATTACGTTTTATATAATTCAATTTTTTTTTCATAATTCTAAAAGACCGATACTTGGCTTTTAAAATGAAGACTAAACAATTCCCTATCCATTATATCTGTCTACGCGTCATAAACTTGTCTTCCCTTTGATAGTTTTCAATAATTCACTTTGAATCGGTCGCAACTGTTGAGCTTTCATCGGCTTCAAAATTTTGTTTCTTATAGCCAGAACATATGGTGAGCGTTTGTTTTAGTAATTGAGGGAAAATAATATGCACGCTTGTAAATAATTAAATCGTTGAACTTACTTTGTGTACACCAAGTTCAGTTGATGTTCAGCTGGAGAAAAATTTGCTGTAAGTGGGGGAGAACGAGGTGTGTCGGAATATGAGGTAAGTTGGCAAAATGGCATATTTCTCCTTATCAATGACTTGTATAGAGGTGATACTATCAGTAGTCCTATAATACCATAAATATCTAGTTTTTGTATGCAATAGCATCATTTTGGTTCAAGGCATTTATAAGGAGAATACGGTCACCGGAAGATTTGTCATTCGAAAAGTTCATTGAACTTTACTTTGAAAATGCGATTTTGCATTAATTTTAGATACCACATACATAAAACAATCAATTTTCTGCCATATTGGTCATTCCAGGCGCATTCAGGAACTCATTTGCTGAAATACATAGTTATTTATGAAACAAGTGCCCAAATAGTAGATTACGCAACGAGTAATCTCTGCGCTCGGGCGGCAAACGTCGCACTCGTGGGAACACCTACTCCGCACGAGTTGAGTATACTATTTTTTGATACAGCGGCGGAAAGTTCGTTTTTCCGCACGCTTATGAACTTTCCACACGCTGTAGCCACAGCACCGGGATCTTTTACTTTCGAAGCATCCTACTGACTGCGAAAAACGAACTTTCCGCACGCTGTATCAAAAAAGCGTTTTTGGGCAAAAATGTCTTTTTTTAACACTTTATTAAATCCCAAAAAATGAAGTACCAAGAATAAGAGTAGTTATATTGATAAATGTAAAAGAACGAAAGGGAAAATAAAGGTTAAAATAACTTCCAAAATTAATTATCATCATGTAAAAGAACGGAAGATTAATAGACAACATGATGCTGAAAATATAGTAGAACGCCCAAGACATTGTTAGCAAATTTACAATGCACTACTGTGTTAACTTTAAATGA